AAGGTAAGAGCAGATACAGGAGAACTTTAACTATAAAGCTGACACAGCAAGCTACTGGAAGCTCTTCCTTCTAACATTCTTAAAAAGACCCTTTAGTTAAAAGGGGGAACTCAGCTGTGTAAATGTAGATATAATGACTGATTTGTTTGCTGCTGTCACTACTATGGAATAGGCCTTCCAATGAGTCCTGAGCTCCAAGAAATTGAATTCACCACCTACTTCCATCTGCTTGCATTCAAGTCATCATTCTTGCTGCCTTACAAACTTCATTAAACAAAGCAGGGAATGGAATTTTCTCTTGTTGGTAGAGGATGTCTAGGAGTTAACATGTTTTCAGCCCAGGAACATATTTTACCCCTGGAAGCTAAGGTTTCAATGGGGCATCAGCCAGAACACAAAGAATACCCCACTTATTAAGTAGTATTAAAAATACTTATAAAGCATTGCTACATTTTCTCTGCAGCCCATATAAATGCCAGCTGCAGCTATTTTCTGTTTACATTACAGGCAATACACAAACCAAAATAAGATTTTCCTGCTAAAGCTGATCAGTTTGATTTTTCCCACTATTGACATTCTAGCTCTAGGGCCAAAGTTTCAGCACCTGGTACTTTTATATCTCTTTTTAATTAAAACCAGACATAATTAATGCAGACTTGCATTGGGAAAATTTTGACCATCTGTGGAAGGATTTTCATTGAATGTTGCCCTTGGGATGACATCCTAAAGATAGTATCTACACTACAGTATTTGGTCTTGTAATATCTAACTGAAGATGAATGTTATTTCCTTGTTAGAACTATGGTTAAATGCCTAAATGGATCATTCTAAAGTCTGAGGTGAAGGGAATGCAAACCAAAAGAAATCTGGGGCTGGAAATTTGCAAAAAAGCAAATTTGTTGTTGCTTTGTTGTTGTTGTTAAGCTGATGTAATACCACAGTAATTAATATTTGGACACATTCTTTTTTGTACAGGTTCTTGGAAAGAAGCTGTCATCAAGAAAGTGGTGTTATATCATCCACAACATTGAAAGAAGTCTCAATTTAGTGAAAAAAAAAAACCGCACAAAACTTAGGGACAGGAGGAACAAAGAATAGACAATAGTGAGAAGCGGATGGGTATAAGAACTCTTCTCAGGAGTAGTGGGGAAAGCTGCAGGCTAGCTATAGGAAACAGGGAGATAGACAACTGACTGAAAAGTTAGTACTTGAACATTTCTGATAGTATAATATTTATGAGCTCTTTTCAAAGAAAAAAATCAAGCTATACAGCAGCTTTGAAAGCAAGTTAAAATTTTATTTACTAATTTTCTCCATCCCATTTATTTTTTCTATCACAACCTCTATCCAAATATAGATTTGCATAGGTACAATCCTGTAAACAGATTTTTTGTTTCAATTTGCTTCTCAAAATATGAATATATTGCCTTACGATCTGAAGTTCAATAAATATACGATTAACTTTGTTATCTTTGTTAGCTTTTTTTCCCTTTGATTTAAATATACTTTGAATGAAATAAAATATGTAACAAATGATTAATAAATTCTGTGTGCAAAATCAATACCTCTAATACCTTCAGGTTAAAGATTTGAATGCCTCAGAAGTAGTAGTAGAAGTAGCAACCTTCCGAAGTGAGGACTAAGCATGAGAAGCCCAAAAAACTCAAAAGGGCCAGATTCTGGTGGGAATCTGCCTTCCAAGCTCTCTCCCAGAAGCTATCATGGAAAGAACTACACAGGCTGCTCACCAGGGTCAGCAAAGGACCCACAGAGAAGGGCAACAGGGAACATTTCAGTAGCTGAAGGGGGGAGGCTTGGAGAGTCAAAGGGCCAGGACACAAACTATTCTGATGACTATCCAATTTCTTCCCTTCCACCTCTGAAAACCTCCAGCCAGATGAGCAAAATACCGATATAGCAAAAATGCAGGGCGGGAAGATGGTGAGGCGAATATTGTGTCTGCCACTCTTCTTGCTTTACACTGAATGATTAAAAGCTTCTGAGTTTGGAGTCTTATGGGCATTTCCACAATGCAGCACCTTAAATGGGCACATAACAAGCATGCAAATTGAATTAAAATTACTGCAACAGATGCAAGCCACATGCCCTTTAAAAATTATAAATGGTATAGTATCATGCAAACTACAATTAACTTATATTTGTTCAATGTTTGTTACATGGGCGTTGAAAAGGTACTGTCTTCATATTAAACTAAAGAAAAGTAAAAGAGGAAGCATTTAATTTTACATTTACATTATCAGCGGTGTCAGGGATACTCAACAATATCATTGAAGTGGAAAAATAAAACAGATCACATTAAAAAGGAACAGGAAAAAAGAAGGTTAAGTGGTAGACTTACACAGTTCCTGAGCAGCTTATTGAAATTTAGAATTTTACTTGCATTTGGGTGAGAAATAGCCAGAGAAAAAATCCTGTTCCCCTACCTAGCCCCGACTAGTCTGACAACAAAATATTTATACCATTTGTAAGTGCTGATATATGTGAGGCAAAGCGAAAGCGAGGCAGACAATGAGTTTCTATGCCTGTGTATTTGTGTGTGTAAGAATGTAAGCCTCACACACTGCTGGCTCTGACAGTCATTTATTATATTTTCTTTTAAAAATTCTAAATTAAAGAAGTTTCAGAATAGTGAACACAGATATAACAGCAGATCAACAATACAATTAAACATCGGTTCATAAACTGAGGAGTGACAAAACAATGTATCTGCCCCTGACTGCCTACCTTGGGGCCTTTTGGGGAAAAAAGTTGTCCAAGTTCGAATCTAACCCAGTATAATGAAAGTAAGAGAATGCAAGGAAGAAATGTTAAATGAAGTCAAGCAAAGATAGAGAAAAAAAATGACTAAATGCCAGTTTGCATAATGAATTGAACTGAATAAATGGAACAAAAATGCAAACTGAGTCATAGTTAGATTCCACTGAAATCAATTTGAAAAGTTTCAATAGGATTCCAATAGGAATTATGTATAGCTAACCTAATGCGAAACCAGCTCAATGTAATTCCAAAGACTGCAAGACTTTGAAGATTAAAGTTAACATAAATCATGCAATTTGCCTACAAAGGCAGCATACGTAAACTGTAGTCTGGCTACACACTTCTGCCATATATGGAGAACATGCAGCCCTACAGATGCTGCCAGAATGCAGCTCTCATCATTGGCTACACTGGCAAAGCCTGGGGCAGGGGTTTGTTTCCATGTGATACATTTCCATTACTGCCCAATAGCCAAAGCTCTCTAGGCAGTCTTCAAAGGTTAAAGCTACAAAACTACAATATAAAATACAATATAAAGCCATAAACAACAATATGCAACGTTACAAGTTGTAGTCCAAGAACATCTGGAGGCCTCATGTTCTTCACCCTGGCCTATGCAGGGATGAGTGGGGCATGGAGAAAGTGCTGTAAGAACAGCTGCCATGGATGAGGAGGACATGATTCCTGGGCTGGAGGAACCCAGAGCTGCTGTAGTTTGTATCTGCACTCACCCTTCTGGAATTAGACACATAGGGGAGGGGAGGCTGGAAGCTGACATAAGGGAGGCTCAGTTTACATGATAAGCCATATATTCCATGGGGAATAGTTTTAGCATATATGTGTTGGATTTCAGTGAACAGTCTGTTCACTTGGGGGTTGATCCTTGCAATATAAATTCATGCAACTTCTAATCAAGGTTAGGAAAGTACAAAAGGTAACTGGATTGTATCATAGTTTTTTGAATGTGTGAAAATATATTTATATATGCTATGATGAGGGTTTGACAAAGTGTACTCTTTCGTTAAAGGAGTTTTGCTTGTTTGTTTTAGAGGCAAACAATAGAACACAAACTGTTTTTTTTTTCCAGCAGAGTATTCCCTCTTGTTTCTTAAACTATAACACAGAATGTTGCCATGCATTAATAACAGCAATATAAGACAGTACTACATGGAGAACATTTTCTATAGAACAGCGCTTAATCACCCACAGCAGGCCACAGTCTACATAGAGAAGGTTAATCTTCTCAAGTCAGCAAACCACACAAGCATCCCAGAACAAAGGATTTAAGTGACTCAAGTTTATTGTCTAACTTTGACAAGCAACTACAGCAAGACCTCATTAAAAATAGATTAGTTACAGCATACATAACATGTTGCCACAAGACAAAATTACTGGATAAATATAAGAAAATTATCTCACACACACCTTGCTTCAGAGAATCAGAAAAAACTTCAGAAGTGCCAAATAATCCAGCTTCACCTTTAGCACTGCCAGTATAAACAGAGGCAAATATTTGCTCCCAAAAGTCTATGGATCAGGCAAAATATGTCAGGGAATAGGGTAGGATGGACAGTCACCTAAATCTATTCCTAAGAATAGGTTTCCATTCACTGCTCTGGAACAATGCCACAAAAGACTGAGCCAAGTCAACTTAAAGCATAAAAATATTTTGTCAGCACAGATTCTTGAAAGCCTTCTACATTAACTGAAGCAGTAAAGTAAGTTTCAGAAGATGTATTTTGATGCACAGATGTTCACATGGCATTTCTCTGCCACGTGACCATCTAAGAATGCACAGTGGGGATACATGTTCAAAAACACCTTCATGTCAAAAATGCATCTACATGAGGAGAGTGGAAGCCTGGCCAAGCAAAGAGAAAATTATGCCATTTATTTCATACTGCTAAAAATTCATTGGGAACAGTCTTTGTAAGTTTTAACTTTATTCATTCTAATACATTTATTTGCACAAAAAGAACATAGAGCCTAGAATACTCAAGGATTTGTGGGCTAAACCTGAGAAATAACCTGAACGGTATTTTATTTTTGATAGTTAATCTCTGGTACTCAATATGTTTTGCATGTATTAATAAAAGCTATAAAATCTTAAATTATATTGAGGTTTGTATAATTCCAAATCTTACACTTAAGGTTCCAAGTCTTTTTAAAGTGTAGGATTTAAAGACTATGACAGGTGTAGTTATGACTGAACTGTTATTTACCGTATTTCTGAGAGGAATCTTCTTTGGTTCTGGGGGTACATCCTGCGGAACAAATTTCACTGGCTCCTTAATCTGTCTTCTTGATCGTTTAGTTCCATCTGGTAAAGTTTCCATGGCAATGTCAGTTTCCATGTCACTGCTACCTGCTTGGTCACACTCTGAGCACTGCCTGGGAGGACAAAAAAGTCTAAACTGAAGACAGCAGCTACTAAAGCAAAAGAAGAATATGCAAGGCTGAAAAACAAAAACCAAAGACTGAGAAAGATAATATTTACAATATAAGAAAGAGCTAAAAACAGAAAAAAACTCTGCCTATGCAAAAAAGTTTGCCCCCTTCCTTTCCTGAGCGGTATGTGTCATGACAAGCTATTATTTAAATTTTCTGAGTTGAAAAATTTCTGTGTGGCTGCAGGCCCCTGAACATTCTAAAGAGATTTGTATCTCTTTTTTCTCCACCTTGCAATATTCAGAACCAAGCATTCATTGAAAGCACTGTTATTTCCATAAAACACATGGTCTCCCTTTCCTTTTGCTGAGACTTCTATTTTTTTCCCAATAACATCCCATGCTGAATTTGTTCTCTGAGAAAAAGACTTCAACTGATAAGGCAATAATAAGTTGAGGCATGAGGGGAGGGGGAAATCACTTAATCCCTTCAAAGATGGTAGGTGACACCCCTGCACCTCAAAAGGCCATTTAACATACATCTAGAATCTTAGGATAGAATCTTGGGTTTGTAGGAACAATTTTATTACATATAAAAACTAGCATATTTCAGAAAAAAGTTAACCATTCATGTAGAGATGCTTTCAAAAGATCAGTTTTGGAAGAATTTCAGTGCTAGCTTATGAATGTTAATCAGTTAACATTTCTGAACAAGGGCATGCTTAGAAGACACTGAGAATACTGTCTGTGCATCCTGTCCAGGCAGACTAGCACTTTATATTCTATCAGTCAAATAGAGCAGAAGTTCTGCAATATCTTACTGACACACTGCTACAGCTCACAGAGCACAAATCTGAAAATACCTTTCTTTAAAAACTAGAACGGAAAAAGTATGCAGCAAGATATAGGGAACCAGTATTAAAACTCCTTGGAAAAGATAACATTTTGAACGGATAAGATCTAAACATGTTGTAAGCACCTCAGTACATAAACACTTTCTGGTGAGATTTACTTTAATTATAATTATTGCACACTTTCTAAATACAAAGCAGAGATTCATAAATCCCAGTAAACTGATGGAATGCTTGGTTTTCTCAAGCAAACTTCATCTCAGATTCAAAGGCAATTAAGGGCTACTTGCGGCATCAATGACCTATTTTGTAACATTGCAATTCATGATACAATAATTGAAACGGGCTCTTAAAAATGGCAAGATAGAATCTAATGAACATGGCTAAATATGGTGGTGTCTGCACTCCAAAATATCCCTGCCAGATTCTTTCCTAATGCAGTTTTATTTGCATTGTCTGGTTTATATCCTTCCATGCACGCATGTCTAACATGCATCATCCTTCTTCCCCCATGCTTTGTTTCACTGGGCCGGGAAGGTACCTCTGTTATCTTTGTACAGCAACCTTCAAACTGCCCCCCTCAAAAAAATAAAACCCCACACACATTTTGAAGGGTAGTGTTAACTGACTACTAGTCCTATACTTACGAGATTCAAACATGAGATGAATAAATAAAACAGCTGTGAATGAAGGAAGACACAAATGAACTATTGATTCCTTTCAGATGTTATGTCAAAGACAGAATCCTATGGTAAATATAAGTTTTCTTTCTGAAAATATTTTGTTCAACTGTAACATTAAATATTTTTATTCTTAATCAATACAAGACATGCTAGGGCAATTACACAGCTTCTTACTGGCCTTCCACCCTAAAAACAAAATTAAGAAATGGACTTCATAGGCAAATATTGTGAACTACCATCAGCAACCATTACTGTCAACTTCAAACCAAATTCCATCAATACTTAATATCTATCTAGCTAGCTATCTAGCTATCTCAGAATTTGATATAACATGCATTATAATTATAGCCAACACAGCTGCAGCTGATGTTCCAAGGGTTAATGAGAAAAACTTCTGAAAAGGCAAGTGTACTATATACAGCAGGGACACCATTCTGTTGAACATCACATTTATAGTAAGATTCTTATTCTATAGCCTTTTCCCTGATTTTGAAAAGAATTTACAAAGACACATCTAACGATGAAAAGGATGCAATCAATAAGGCTCCATTTCTCTTGTTATAATCCTACTCCACTGAATATATTCTAGCTAAATTAAAAGTGAAAGTCAAGTTTGTGATCAGAAGTGTAGCTGAAGCATGAAATTCATAGTGAAGACATGGCAGCTTTTTGAAAGAAAAGTCTTACTACCTCCCTGACCTACCTCCCTGACCACTGAGATGTCCAGTTTGTTTCTTCTTGATTTGATGCCTTTAAATAAGCCCTTTTCAATATAATAGAAATACATAAAATAAAATCAGTGCATTACTACACTGATTTAATCAGATCACTGAAAGTTGGCTTTACTTCCTTGTAAAGGAAGGGCTTAACATTATGATCCAATGCTCATTTCAGAACCTGGTTAAACAGGAACCTTGGGTGACATCAATAAGGCTATAGTCAGTGCTATTTCCCTTAACTGTGGTGAAAACAGGAATGTAGAATTCACTTCAAGAACAGAAAACAGATCTATTTTTGCTAGGACACATTAAGCTTAGGGAAGGGTTGCTGCTGCTGTTGTTTTTCCCCTTTCCAATCCTTTATTATAAAGAAGTAACCAAAAGAGGAACCTCAGGTTTGCAAATATCAGAAGATGGCATTGATATAGAACTCCAAGTCACATTTTTAAAAATCCTTGAAGGACCTAGACTGCTATAAGATAAAGTGTAAAAACCCTCTGAGCAGATGAGAACAAAACAAATAAAAACCATCCTGATAGGTGTTTGTACTTGTAGGCTTATGCTTTTTTAAAAAAACACCCTTGTAAGTGGCAAAATGCATTTGCAATACTCTTACCAATAACTGTTTTTAGTCTTCCTTGGCATCCTTGAAAGTGGAGGGTCCAGACATCCAAGATGATAATGGAGTTTACAAGTGTCACAGAGTAAAAGGAGGTGCTGATCATGGTTCTTCTTGCAAATCCCACAACTTGGAAATGCAGGAAAAAAGTTTCATTTGAGATAATGCATATACTTTACCGAATCATCTCAATGTTTACATTGGTTGGAAGCAAGATAACCCCTTGTGCTAGCAGAAGGCAAATCTGCTAGTGTGAAGACTGATCCCGGGTTTTGTGGCTTGCCCCCTTTAGTGACAACCCTTTGCTCACATCCCACAGTGTTCTGGAGAGTTTCTTAAACCTCACAGGTAGCTTTTGGAAGCACACAAGGTGCAGCAGCTGATAGGAGGAGGCAGCTCTGGATTCCAACAGCTGCTAAAAAATTCCCTAGTGACAGTTGGGTATTTATAACTTCTGATACATTGATTTGCGTCCAACTTAAATTCTTATTGAGGCAGTTTGGTCTTGCAAGCAAAGTGCTGACCTGAGCTATGGAAGACATGAATTTAAATCCCTGATCAGCTATTAATAACTTAAAGGAATCTGTGGATAAAACCTTTCTAACTCATGCCCCTATTCATAAAATAAATCTTCACTTTGAAAAACTGTTATGTGCATGACATAATTTACTTGAAAAGATGCTTGCATATTATAAGTTACATGGAATTGTGAATCATTTTGTTCCAAATTAATGAGATATTACCAATAACTGCATGTCCAAATCTGAACATACTGAGTTGGATCCAGCCTTAGCCAGACTTTGAGTTGACTTACTAAATCAACAAGACTTGTTAGCCATGATTTACTTGTTCAGCTGATTTCAAATAATTCAACTCAATGAATTATTAAGTCTGAACCCAATCTTCTGTAATGAGCCAAAAATTCAAGTAAAATAGTCATACAGAAAATCATCCTAATTCTTGGACAAGACAGTCATGTAAGAAGTTCAACATCAGCATTTGAAATCATTTATACTATGGTAATGGTCAAAAGGTAATCAAAGGGTGGTAACCCTGTTTTGCAGTCCCCACTATATTAGATCAAATTTACTTTCAATAGAGCTATGTCAGTCCTTTATAAAATGATGAACAGTATAGTAAGAATGAATAAAACTTCACTCTTCAAATATTGTAATGAACTACAGATGATTCAAGACAAAGCAAACTAAGCATTTCTTCCCACTGTGCATCATTAACATGTGGAATTCATTATGGTAAACTCTAATACCTACTAGTTTAAATGGTTTCAAAAAGCCAATTCATGATGCCAGTGATCACCCTAAAAGCTCTGAAAAGTTTGATGACAAATATTTGAAGGAAGGCCTACTCATATATCATCCTGTTCATGCATTAAAGCTCTAGAGGAGACCTTCTCCATGTATTTTCTTGGGAAAGGTACATTATGCATTTACAAAGAATAGGGCCTTCTTTGTCGTGGTACCCTAAATTTGGAATACTTTCCTGAGGAAGGCTTGAGCATCAGTCTCTTACTGTGAAGGTTCCTTCCAGTTTGGTGTGATAGAGACATACAATAATGGGTTAGATCTCCACTTCATCCAGGAAAGGCAGGGATCATGTTACCATGATCTTTGTCTCAGTAAGCGTGATCTCAAGTTCCTCCTCCAGTTCCATCCTGTAGCTAAGCTTGAGACAGAATCCTGAGGTGCCCAGCACTAGGAAGACTAAGACAGAAATAGGAGACAGTATGCCTGACTGTCACAAGGGCATGGCAACACAAGTGCTACATAGGCTATTGGTGAGCCTATAGAAATTATGTGACAACTGATCCACCTACAAGTACGGTATGGTCAGAATACCTCCATCACTCCAAATCAGAAGGAACCTGCACAGCAAGTGAACAGTGTTCCATTCCCAGTTTGGCAGCAGGCAGTATAGAACGATGGGGAAAGTTAATGCTGCAAGTAGGATGGGAAGTATTTTGGCTGAGTGTTAGAAAAGAAGAAACAGCTATTGCAGTATTCATCATCTGAATTCTGCCATTGTGGAGAGCCTAATGAGTCAATTCTTTAGTGTCTGCTGGACATGGTAGGTCTGGGACAGAGGGCTGCTGGTGAAAAATATTTCCAAGGTGATTGTGGAATTAGGAATGTGGAGTGAGATGTAATGGCTTAGGAATATTTTGGCCCTTATAGGCCTTCAAGATGTATGCCCTAGGCTACCTGGGAAATGAGAAACTATGTGCTTTTGCTCTGAAAATAAATGAAAATAATTTGAGTGTCTTAAGACCTGCTCTATTTGATGTACATTTTGAGGGCTCTGCCTAAGCTTGGCTTGTGGCATGACCGCTCAGAGAGATAATAAGAGTTTGGGGAAGAAATCTGGTAGCATGAGTTCCTGTGCTTTCTGAAAGAGGGTAAATAAAGCTTTTGGTGGACAATTACCCTCTGAAAAATGCATACATACTTCCTGATCAAGAAGACTAATAGCTTAGATCTGTTGAGATTGCCACCAGAAAAAAAAAGCTTTGGAAGAATAGCCAAGAAGTATTAAGGGATCAAAAAGTGAGGGCTTTGAGAACTATAAGAATCAATGGTAGAAACATGATGGACTACAAATGGGATCAGAAGAAAATTCCAAGGTTAGCCATGTCAGAAGTGGAGCAGCTAGGAGAAACAATCCCAGCTGTGGATGCAGAACTAGCTCTTGGGATGGAAGAGATGGAATATCTGGAAGGTTCCGTGGGCCTTCTTGGGACAGATGCAAGGTTCTGATAAACCATGGGTGGTAAAGCAAAAAGGGGGTTAAGAAGACTACAAAGATTTGCTCCGATGGTCCTTAGGATGTGAAGTTGGTAGAAAGGCATAGAAGGAATTTCTTGGTCCACAGCACATTGAAAGTGCTTATGGCTTCTGTCACAGCTCAGAGCTGGGAGATATCATGAAACAACTTACAGTTGGGTGGAGACTCCATTCCCTTGGGTCCAGCTGCAAGTAATTAAACAACTACGTTTAAACAATTTTGGTTATAAGCCTTGCTCCAAGTCATACAGGAATAAAACTAGAAGGTGCAGTGCTCAGTTAGAGGAGCTACAGGCAGCCATATAAAATCAGAGGGCCTCTGTATTAACTGACAGAAACCTATTTTCTGTGGAAAACAGCATGTTTTTCGGCATGAAAATGTAAAGCAATAAGCATTATACTGTCACTTCAGCAGTACTCGGTTTACTGGGTGCCAGCCCACCCCCAGCAAATCTTACATGACCTGGAATAAAGAGTGTCATCCCGACACACCATGTTCCAACTGCGCTAACACTAACTCTGGACACTGAGGTAGAGATGAAGCAGCTACTGGGGGGCAGCAGCTGCTGCTGCTTTATTACAATCCATTTATTCGCCTTGGGTTCCTCTTGTGAGGCCTCCTCCAATCCATTTTATCCTCTCAACAGCCATCCTCTGAGCTCTGCCCAAGTCATCCAGTGATGCTCATAGCTAAGTGATGATTAGAACCCTAAACTCTCAGGTCCCTAGTTGAACATGTTAAACATTAACCGAGAAAGCATTCCTCGTTTTTCAGTTCTCAACTCTCAAGGTGACCTCTGCAGTTCTGGTAGAACTCCAGTAGTGGTTAGGGTAAGTGTACATGGGTTTGCTCTAAGTATCCTCTCTGACTGGGCAGTAGTCAAGGCGGCATTAAACTACTTCTGGGTTAGCATAGACCAATTGTATAGTTTTGTTACTCTGATGTGCTGAAATCATCTCTGCCTTCTGCTTTGCATACTTGAAGCGATTTTTTTCCCTTGCTGGGGCCACAAAGAGAGAGAAGACCAGAGAAACTCAGTAGCAGAATGGTCACCTGGCAAGAGGTGGTGGTGGTGGTAATGGTGGAAGTTTCAGTAGCAAGGAAAAGAATCACAAAGAGAATTGAAAGAATAAAGGAATTAGGAAGTTTCAATAGAAAATAAATGCCCAATGATGAAGGGGTGGGTAGAAGAGCCTGAATGTAAGGATTGGGCCCATTCCTCCTATAATACAGCCTTCAAAGGTCATTAAATCAGATTTTGATTCAGATGTGGAAGAGACTGGAATTCATAGCTGAAATGTCAAGGCCAGCAGACCAAGATATAAGCTAGAAAGTCACTGAGAATCAGTTTCAAGTTCTGTGGGAAAATATAACCAGCAAGCTGATATGTGAGGGAGTAGGCCCAGCATCATTAATGTTAGATTAAGAGGGGAGAGCAGTTGAGAGGCATCAGATACTCCAGGTCACTAGCTCCTGAGCAGCATAATCCACCCTAAAGATGGAGTCTGCTCTTCATGGTTTGGAAGGGAGGAGAGGAATTCCATTTGGAATCAACTTTGCTTCATTAAGCCATAGTTTCCAGATGGTCAGATAACTTTTCTTATTTCTTTTGCTTCTGACTGTTCAATGCCCTTTCTTCTTTCATAATGCCAACCTAGCTGATCAATTTGCATGTAATATAGACCTTTGTTTAGAAAGGCTTTGTCCTGATCTGCTTGGAAAGAGGGGCAAAAGACCAGCCAGGGCACAGAGATATTAAGACAAAGACTAATGCTGATCACAGGATTCCTGGCTTTTCTGCATGGTATGGAGCATAACCCATTGTTGGATGCCTCCTCACACCTAGAGAAGAAGTGATTGGTGCCAATTCTATACTCTTTTTCAGCTCCACATTGAAACATCTCTGTCCTGGCTTTTTAAAGGGAGCTCTTTTGCCTCTTGTGATTTAAAAAAAGTAAGTTCACGTTCATTCTAAATTGATTTTGGTTTCTTTGTTGGTTACTGCTGTTAGGATTTTTCTACCTTTTATTATTTAATTGTTCATTGTTTAGTCATTTTGCTTTTATAAATATACATATGTCAACCTAAGAACTATTGTGATGAAGGTGTAAAATGGAAATGTGTAAAATAAATTTACATAACTTAAATGATTAGGTATATATTAGGTCAATCCATAGAGGAAAAGTTTTTCAACAGCTATTAGTCATGATAGCTAAGTAGATACTTCCATATTCAAGATGCTGAATACCTGCTGTTTGGAACAACCAGCGGGAGATGACTATCACTATCATAGCCACTGAAAACTTTTCAAAAGTACTTGGCAAGCCACTGATAGAGACAGATTGCCACACAGAATGCCCTGTGGTCTACTCAAGAAATAAATGTTTTATGATCTTAAAAATAGCTTGTGGTTGTTTGGAACATGGTAAAAATGCCAATGATAAAAAGAACCATATATGAATAATAATGAATAAATATATCTAGCAATATATTAAGATACATAAACCTAAGTTATGTTAGGGAAGATTAGATTTAAGGATGCATATCACTTTTGTTTAGTCTTTTCTGAACCATCTACAATTTCAACAATTTAACACAAAATAGATTCTAAGATTTTGTGGCAAAAGCTTTATTCTTTTGAACTGCTGCCAATCAAGAAAACACCACTACAGCATTACAAAAAAGTTTAGAACTGTTCAAAATAGATGACACATCACAGTAGTATTTTTGAATGATTAGGAATGGATGAGGAAATTGTATTCAGTTGTTTGAAATAAAATTACCAATTACATTGACACCTCCTTCCATTTAGCATTACTGTCTATGGCTACTTGCCTATAAAGGACTGCTGGAAGGGTTGTAGTCTTCTGGGTTCCACCTTCTTTTTTACTTGGCTTTCTCTCCTTGGGAGCTCTCAAAATTGCTGGTATAGTCAATTTCTATTGGATTTGAGGAAATAAGAATATTGGTGAGAGACCTACGTAATGTAACATTTCCCTTCATTGAGCACTCAGCAGTTATGAAATTTGGTTGTGCCTAATATGCTAAAATTATGGGAAAACTGCTTAGTCAGGTTACAAAAATGACTACACCATATATTTTGTCCCCAAGTGAGTCTTACGACAAATGAAACTGTATTCACATATTTTTCAATGCAAAAAGAAAAAAAGAAAATCCAAAGACATTAAAGCCCTGGCTTTTCAACTCTTCCCCCTTTAACAGAGGAAGCTTTAACAGAGACAGACAAGGACAAGCTGGTTTAGAAGGTTAAAAGCAAAAAGAAAAAAAAAAGAAAAATCCACTACACTTCACAAAAGAATATTGAGGCAGTTTATTTTCCTCAGCATCCCTGCTACAGTGGTGCTCCATAGGTTAATTAGAAAAATTATCTTATTGGACCAAACTCTCCACAAAGCAGGAGAGATTCTCTTCGGGTTTCTACTAATCTGCAGTATGCTAGCTTCACAGACAGCAACCATCTATCAAAGTCATTTCTCAGTGGCCCTGTGGGCCTGCATCTGTTCAACCAACTGGAAAAAAGTGTCATGCAAGCTGTGCAAATGAAACTACTACTTTTTATTATTATTAAATGATTGCACCAGGAAATACATTTGTGAGTGTTCATATCTTTCTTTCTATTTAAAAAGGGAGAAATTTACTGTTATCACACCTACATACAAGGACAGATTTCCATATGTACAAATGGTCCATATAAACCAGGTTAGATTAAAATAACTGAGCCAGGTTAGCAGAACTCATCAAGCTGTTCTACAGAACAGTTAACAGAAGCCAAAGGGTATTTACCAGACTATTGCTGGCCTGTGGTCCAATTTTTAAGAGATCATTCTACTTTTTATAGCCTTAAAAGGTTAACTATGATTTGTAGAAAAATGGTAAAAGATGTATTATATCTGGAATGACATGAACGCATCCACATTCTTGAAAAATCTGCTGGCCTCGCTGAATATCTGATATAAGTTTGATGAGAAGGATTGAAAGAAAAAGAAATTCATCTGTGTTTCAGACAGAGACAGCTACACTGTAGCATATATAACATCCGTAGTTTGTGGGTGGGGAAAAAACAGGCAACAATTTGCAGAAAATATAAACAAACAAAAATACAGAAGTCTGCTGATTTACAAATGTAATACTGTATAACTCAATGAATGGAATAATTGGGTGGCTGCAGCATTCACTTTTCACAACTGACAAAATGACCTTTTACTGCTATCAAGAAATAACCAGTTGTGCCCTAGAATTCTTTGTTTCTTAGAAAGGTAATATTGTCCTATAAGTATAATTAAGTTCAAACCAGAATGAATTATAGATGCTTTCCATGACATGCCTATTTAAGAAAGGGGGCTCAAGAAAACTGTATACCCCAATAAAAGCTGCTGTTTGAAAGCTAGATTTGCTAGAAAGAAAAATGGTGAGGAATGTGGTTAGATTAACTCATGCTTCAGGTTTAGCTTCATCACAAATGACAGGTCAATCAGTTACAGCAAATGAAAGAATTTTGCAAACAAGATAGCTAATACAAAAACAAAATTAAGCCACAAGTTCCCTGTGGGTAACTTGCAGAGCCCTAGATATATTTCAATCAGATATCATTATCCCCAGAGAAAGACCAGGACTTTATCAAATACACCTTTTCAGTCACAAAAAAGTGACAGTTAACAAAGGCTATTCTTAGAAACCTTATGACCTGGAAGACAAGGAAAAGCAAGAGGGGAAAAATAATGCGAAAAACCAACCTGCCCAATTACTCTGCCTAGCACAGCCCATATTCCTTGCCCTTCATTTCTTAGCTTTGCATTCATATTTTGAAGTTCTTCTAAAGATTCACATAACTGAAAAAGAAAACAAAGAAATAGATTGTGAAAGTTATTTGACAAGTCTCATTTAAGAGGAAGCATTCTTTACTTACAATGCCTTTTCTAAAAGAAGTAATTAAATAATAAAATTGTTCACTCATGTCAATGCAAATGAAATCAGTAAAGTTAATCAGCCATTCAATAACACCAGAAAAAAACATGGGCATCCATCTGTTTAGTAAGAGAGAACCTAAAGCAATTTTGTCAGACAATAAGACTATAATGGCAGTCAAGTAAGATCACAACAGTTCCACTCTGTTATTTCCATCTGCAAAGATGTGCCAGGTATTTTTACACGTTTCTGAGCTACATCCCCCACATTTGGAAAAAAAAAAAAAAGACAAGATATAAAACCATGTTAGTTTTGTAAGTTTTATTGTGAATGGCATTCTGTCCTCCTAACTACTCCTTATTCTTTGACAATCACAACAACTAGGGTCACCTTCATGGTGTGTGTGTACATGTCTTTTTGAAAGCAAGTAAGAAAAGCAATGAATTCTGTGGAGTTCAAATTTTCACAGTACTATCTTCAATTCATCTTGATTTGCTACACATGTACTTGTGTGTCACCACAGCAGTTAGCATCATTTAGTATTCAGATTTACATACAACTTTTCACAAAGTTTCAAAGTGGCAAACATAGGATAATGTGAAATCAAAATCAATAACAAAACTACAATAGGGCAATACAACTACAGAATAATATAAATACTAATCACTAATAAAAACTGTGCACTATAGAGCATGGGTGGTTCATACTTCAGTGAAAGCCTGTGCGAAGAGATGGGTCTTGAGGAGACCTCTAAATGTCAGAACTGGGAGGCCTGTCTAATGACAGTTGGCCCTGTGTTCCACAGGGTGTGTACTATGACATTAAATGCTCTACTGCAAATCTTCCTGAGATGAAATTCAAGAGTATGAGGCACCCTCAGGAATGCTGCTGGTAAAAAACAGGCAAAGACATAAGAGGTATGATGATCTTTATGATAACCTGGTCCCAAGTCGCTTATGGCTTTAATGTGTTAACAATTACATCTTAAATTTGGCCCAGCAGTTTACTGGCAGCTAGTGCAGATCTTTTAGCAAAAGTATGACTTGTTTTTGGAAAGAGGCCCCAGTTATTAGGCATCACTGTTGCATTCTGCACCAGCTGCAGCTTTTGGACCAACCCCAAGGTATTAATACTTGAATCCCAGTGGCTAAGCTATCATGGACCAGGAACAGATGCTGCTGATGTACTAGCTGAAGCTGGTAAAAGCTATTCCTAGCCACCAAGAACACTTGAAGCAGCACTGATAAAGTTAAATCCAGGAATACCTCCCTTCAGGAAGAATACAACATCATTCAGAACCAGCAACCTACTTATTTTCCCAGTCCTATTTCCCATCTATCTACCATGCTACCATGATGACTAAATTCAAATTCAATTTGTTGGCCCATACCCAGCCCATCACTGTATCTAAGATCTGGTTCTGAGTCTGGTTCAATCACCAACCGTCTCCAAATACCTCTAAAATATGCCAAAGAACCCAAGAATTCCCCTTTACATGAAGCTGTTTGTTGGTTTCCCAGATCGCTAGACTTGTACACAGTGCTGGTCAATGAACTAGTATGCTATATGAAAATGCGTGAGTGGAAAAGACTGTAGTTCAGTGATAGCCGACATATTGAAAGAATGAGCTACGAGTAGACCTTGATATGCAAGGCCATGGAGAACTACTATGTCAAAAAACACGATAATGTGCCAAGTGAGCAAATATTTTGACATGAAATAGGACACTTCTCATGGAGGAGGAGGAGAATCTGTTCTCATACTCAAATTCAAATCCAAAAGTCATGGAGGGGGCAGAAGACAATCAACTCAGGACTGTGCAGTTGCACAGCTGCTAATTGGATTGTTACCCCCACGCAGCTGCTGCTGACAGCAGATGTAGATATTCAGTCATTACTTATATGCTTGCACAGTGCTGGCCAAGATGACCCATGATTCTACTACCATTCTCAATGCATAAAATGAAAAGTGGGGACTGTGCTTTGCATACAACAGGTGACAGAGACTCATCCTCATGGGCTACAGCAACACCAGCCACTTCTTGTATATATGTGCACACATGTAAGTAGCAACTCTGATGAAAGCAAGTTTAAGGCTCCACTACCATATTCGAAGAAGCAATACAGATGCAGACCATTTTGCAACAAGATAAACATTTACTGTGCTGTGGGAGGAGACTAGTTAAGAGCTAAATTTGATTTAAAGATTTATCTAGGGTTTTTGTGATGGGGAGAGCCAACACTTTTGTATCTAACTATATCTGGGTGCTATTTTTAAAATTCATTAAGCACAGCATATGACTTGCACATTCTCGGAAGCACTTCCTTTACCTTGTTATATTCCACATGAAGCTTTTCTTGTTCATTTTCCAGCTTATCCTTAATTTTCTTTTGTTCAGCCATATTCTCCTGGATCTGGATCATGCGCATATTTCTCTCTAAAATTTAAAAAACAGCACTTTCTATAATACCTTAAGAGTGCATGAAGCAACAGGCTGGATAACAGCACACATGTGACTTTTTGTATGCAGCTGTACATACAGACAATCCTCAAATAATTCAGACTGCTTCAGCAACTTGTGAGCTAAAGGACATACATAGTATTTCTCAAAATATGAAAATTAATATGAAAGACACATATAAAAACACATAGAAGTAGTTCTCTGAAGATCAGAAAAAGAAAGGTACCAACTACAAAAAATCCCTCATTAAATTTCTGGACTTCATGCTGCAGCTCTCAAGGACTGCAGGGAAATGTAGCAGCATTAAAGGCAATCAATATTTAGTTAGTTTATTTAGTTATTTATTACATTTCTATACCATCCAATAGTCAAAGATCTCTGGGCAATTTACAACAGCTAAAAAGAAAAGATTCCAATTTTTAAACATGAATGTGTTCAACAGTAATTTTTTAAAAGTGTTATCTACTCCTTTCTATTTGGTTGATCAGTAGCAGCTATATCATTTAAAATGGAAACTAGATAATTATACTTCTCACATATATAAGTGAAGACATGGCATTAAACCAGCCTCACTCTTGAAAGTTTAGATGATTGATATAAGCTGCTTAAAAAACATGTACATTTCCAAACTTACCAAGGTAATAATTCACAAAATCTGCAGTCAGTGCAGGCTGTTTGTGTTTTCGTCTTCCATCCACACTGGAACTGGTATCTGAAGTATCCACTGGAAAGATGTCCGTGCTAATTCCCATTAATTCTGCTTTACGCATCAGCTTACGTATTGCTGAAGCACTGCTAGTAAGAGGCCGTGGCAGTTTCTCTCTTGGTACCCATGCTTGAGGTCTTGTGGTACGCGCTAGTTCTGCTTTAGCACGATATTGTTGCAGTCTGGCATTAATCCGGGCCTACAAATGTTAACATGCAAATAAATATCAAACTAAGTGGTATATAAACACTTTGGCCAATAAACATTATCTCAGTATCTATCACTACACATGAAGGAAAGGCTTTTAATATTGCAATGAATTCGATCCTAAAAATACTCTTTTACCATGGCCAAGAGAAACTATGACTTGAAAGTGAATCTGAAAGATACCTTAGCCATGTTAAAATTCGTTTATTCAGGTATAAAGACATTCAGGAAAAGTCTGGCAATGGCATCTCTTCTGCCATTATACTAGAATTCCGCAGTGGCAATTCAAAATCAACTTAAAATCATAAGAACATGAAAAGCATCCTACTGTATGAAGCTGGAGTAGAATGCTGGACCTAGATCTTATGCTTATGGGAAGCCCATAAGCAGGATATAATAGCCCTCTCCTAGTTGTGTTTCCCAGCATCAGGTATTGTGTGGCATACTGTTTCTGATACTTGACATAATATATATCCATCCTGACAAGAGCTTATCCTCTATGCATTTTCTATTCCTTTCTAAAACCTTCCAGGTTGGCAGCCATCACTCTATCTGATGGTAGGGAATTCCACGGATTAATTGTGGGCTGAGTGAAGAAGTACTCACCTCCAACTCTGGATTGTTCATGAACAAGTTAAAAAAACAGCAGTGCCAATTCAGATTAGTGGAAGAACCCAAATAATTACATCCCTTTATTGAAAGAACTGTGCATTTATTCTTACTCTCTACTTCCTGTTCTTAACTGGCTTCAGATCCAAAAGAGGATCTCTCCTTTTCCGTGCATAATTCTTTGGTGTATAATCTTTGATGCATAATTGGGTCAGAAGCTTTTTGTAAGTCCAAATACACAAACATTCCCAAGTATGCCATCAGAAATAAAGAAATTTTCCAAGCATTCCATTAGCAACAAATAAATTACCACCTGTTCCCCAAGCAGGCAGCTTTTCAGAACTGTCTGTGGCTAGGTGTAGCTAGAAAAGAGAAAGGTCAGTGTATATGGCCATATGGATTGAAAATATATATGCAACCAATCACTGACTTCAGGAATATTCATTTTACTTGCAGGCTAAGCTATACTAGCCTCTTTCTTCCCCAGCCCTCAACATTCTCATTTAGTACATTGTACAGAATGCAAGTGCAAGCTTGGTATAGATACATTACCTGAGCTTCTGGTGAGAGTTGTTTCTCTCTCTCTTGCAAAGACATTTTGCAATATGACTGTAAAGCCAAATAGTTCTTGCGCTTCCATTTTCTATCCATTCTGTCTGCATGTTGCTTACAGTAAGCAAAAAAAGGATCTGCAATATCCTGTTCCAATTAAAAAAATGAATGCAACCTTCTAAAAGAAAATAGTTCCAGCAAAAGTCACTTGATTCATTTTTGAAATATATTCCACAAATATATATACTCTGAAAATAAATAAACCCAGATTTTAAAATTATTTTAACTAACCAAAGCCATATCCCTATTAAGCCAACATTGACAAATATGAAACCCTTAATGGAAGGAGTAGGAAGGTGAAGATCATTTTCATGTTCCTTCTGCCCTACACTAAATGGGTCTGCTCTAAGTATGACTAACTCTGGGTCCAACCCATTAAATTTAATTGTTTAAGCTTAAAAGCATAGTGTTTGTATAATTAATGTAGACGCTGGTATTAAATTTTAATCTCAGTTAATGGCTGCAAGGCTAAGTATCAAGTAGTCACTTCTGTATGCCATTTCCCAAGTACATAAATGCAGAAAGCAATGCAACACTATATATACTAGCAATGAATAATACTGACTTTTCATTGTATATACAATCTTATTTATAGCTCATGAACAGCACAAACAAGTTTTGTGCTACCACACAACTTCCTTTCATTACTGTTGCAGATTTTCACCCCCACTCAAAATGGAAGACCACTAGGAAGCCAGATCAATGATGTGTTTATTACCACTGAAATGGAAGGGAACTGATAATCAAAGTTCTTTTTCTCAAATATATATCCATTTCCAACATAGAACAAGCTGCAAAGATAGCGTCTTGATTCAAGGAAAATGAAAAGAAATGGGGATGGGCTGCCTAAAAATATTTTTAGAGGGAAAATCCCTTCCTTATCCTAATCAATCAACATTAAATAAGGCAATCACTTTGATCAGGATGCCAACTCATGCTCCAAGGCCCTCCCTCTCATTTGAGCCAATTCTTCTTAGTCCCTGCACCGAGGTCCAAGGAGTATACATGAATACAAAATGTAAGTTTCCTGAATAAACTTGGAAGTATATACTGCAGTAAATTACAAATGTTTCAATATTCATAATATTTTAATAAACCAGTTTTATTAATGTCCTCTGAGACATTTTCACCAAGATAAGATTGTTCTGGATACCTACCTCCTCTGCTGCTGCTTCTGACAAAAGGCCTTCCTTCTGTGCACAGGTTACATGGAAATAGGCCCGGCACATCCCAGCATCACAACTGATACAAACACCAGTTCTGGCAAATCGAGGATCTTCACAGAAACTGCATTCCTGCAGCAGATCAGTGAGAGTGAGGGTGTGAGAAAGAGAGAGAGACTACAGACTAAATATTGCAAAAAGGGACCCCAAGTATTAACTTTATATAATGCCTAAAATGGCTTAGTTGCTTTCACAAAAGTATAAAAAGGACTCTATTCTAAAATATCTTTTTATCTAGAAACAACAGGAATGAAAGACAGGAGAAAATTAGAAACAAAATATGCAAACAGTAGTTCATTCAATTCTAACTTTATGTGTTCCCTTCATTCAGAATTTTTTCATATAAATTGTTGCATGTGCACACATCATCATCATCATCAATGCACAAGGCATAGGTTTATTTAGGACATTTTCATTAAAAAAAAATAATCAGATTACAATAAAGACACATTCCTAGAAGCCAAAATGGCCATCAAGTGATACGTGCAAGCCCACAGAGGAAGAGTTAAACTATTTAAACTGATGTTCTCAACAACTTGCTTTTATGAAGTTTGATACACCAATTAAAACTTTAAGCATCAACATGAGTGAGAAACACACTAACAGAGGCTTTTTAGTGAATTATCTGAGAAAATTCTGCATGATGCCCAGGAAACTGTCTCAAGAATCCACTCAAAGATACCAACTGTTTGAAATCTTACATATTCTTAAGTCAATGTTATTTTAGTCTGAAGGACAAATCTTGTACAGAGGATTAATTAAGCTCCCTTGCAATTAGGGCTACACTGTTATTAGTGCCTTTATAACTAAAGTCCAATATAGAAGCTGAAATCTCATGGAATTACATAGAATTAGCTGCATACACCTCCATCCAATGTGTTTTTGTAACTAAAAGGAAGTTGTCTATGCAGACTGGCATTCATTACCAGTTTAGTATGTATTTATTTCAATACTGCCCCATAGATGAAGCTGTCTGGGCAATGTGCAACAGTTAATCAAATACAATAAAAGAAAATATAATATTATAAATGACAGTAGAAGCATTAAAACATTACACTAAATTCAGAAACTAATTTCATGAACTGCAAAGGAAACAAAACAAAAGTAACTGCCGTATCAGTTCTGCCTAAATATATATTCCTTTCAATGTTACCTTAGCACCATATTTGGAATAGTTCATTTCTGTAAGGGTTACTGGTCGCAATTTGTCAATATCTCCAAATGCTACTCCTGGAACATAAAGCGCACAAACGATGTGTACCCATCTATAACAAAAGAGCAAAAATGTCAACAGAAAAGAGATATACAAGAGGAAAACATTTTTGCCTAATTTACATAAAAGACACTGACAATGCTTGTATTTAACCATAAAAGGATGTGGAAGAAAACAAAAGTGTTCTTTTGACTCCCACAATTAATGGCACCGCCTACAAATAAAATCTTAAGAAAAATTAATTTTCAAATAGAATATCACAAGTATGTAACACACAGGTACACAGAGCAACAATGATATGAACTTCATCAATGTAATGTATCTTCTCTTTGAACTCTTTGGACAAGTTTGATAAAATGTAACTTCTCACACTTTGTAGCCAATACCATGGTGGAAAAACTCTAAACAGGATCACACTGCACAGCATGTTTTCATACACATATATCCAGCAGGATAGGAAATCTTGCATGGAAACAGGTACTCACTGATCCAAAAGCTGACTAGATGACTGTTTTACAAAAAGTTAAAGAGCCCACATGTTTGGATAGAAAAACTGAATACATTCTTGCCTTGACAACAACAGCTGATCAGCCACAGTTGCTCCACATGGGCTATTTTGGACCAAGGAAGTTGTTCACACAACTTGGGGATTGAGTGCAGGTTGTTGAACCATGGGTTGTTGTGCTGTCTGAACCAAATTCAATAACAAGGTATGGTTTATTAGCCATAAACAATCCCTGAAGAGAACATATGGGATGTTGCTGGGTTGTGAATTGTGGGTTGTCTTTGGGTTAGAAACCAAGGTTATCACATTTGGGCTCAAACAACATATTAACTCATGTTTCAACCCACAGTGTTCATGCAAACAAGGTCAATTTATTTATTAAAGATTTTTGTATACTTTTCTCTCTGTGCATTGCTCTCAGAACAGTTTACAAATGTGTTGCTGTACTTATTTTATGCAACTGATGTAATTTTTAAGATTCTGAAGAATAATGGAATAGTAGAAATTGGAGGGACCTATAAGGCCACAGGGTCCAACCCCTGGCTCCGTGCAGGACTCCAAGTTAAAGCATCCCTGACAGATGGCTGTCAACATGGAAGATCCCTGTATAATTGGTTCCATTGCTGTACTACTGTTGACAGTCAGGAATTTTTTCCTGATGTCCAGCCAGAATCTGGCTTCTTTGCATATATTAGTGTCAGCTTATCCCTTGTCCCACATTTAATTACGTTAGGTAACTAGCACTGAAATATCAAATGATTTCCGCTATCTAAGACCAAACAATTAGTTGCTTGACTATGACAATTCTGTTCATTCCACGGGTTTTCCTTTCTGTAAAATACCACTGATATATCATACCAGGAACTATTTTACCAGAGAAACTTGTCTGTGTGAGTGGGGGAGGGATAGTAGCCCATCTTCACATTATCTCCTATATTTTCTTTTTTAAAAGCCAAGGTTTTGGCTAGAGATTTTTGATAGTAAGTTTTAATGCATCTTCCCCATTGCACCCTGCAGAGTTCAATATAAAGATACACATCTTCAACAAGCAGCTGCTTCTCAATTTAATTTGCACAGTTTTTTCATGCTCCACTGGTGTATTAAATGCTGCTGCACTCTGTAGGAGTTTATCTATGATAAACCCAACAGCTGGCTGCTTGCTTCATACTGACCTTCTCAAAATGTTTTAGTACATGTCACACAAGTACTGTAGTATTACAGATTTAAACTGCCATTTCAGTATGATTGGCACACAAGTGTCTCATTTCCTTAACCACCTATGTGTGAACTCCATCCTGCATCTTTATTAAAACACACAGAAGTCAGTCAAGTTCCCAGCTGAGGCAGCTTCAGCTGCTTTTAATACCAGTGCCTAAATGTTTCCCTGCTCATTTGTTTAGCTGCACATGTTTGAGAACCTTGTAATTAAGACAAATTGAGTAATCAAAGAAGAATAATCTTTCATGTTACTTCCCCATCCATTTTGCTCTAAGCAAAGATGACAGATGCTGGTGATGGAGAAGAAAAAACTGAACTAAATAAAGACAGTAATCTTATTCCAGATATTTTATTTATTTATTTCTATTTATACCCCATTCTTTATTTTAAAAATCCTGAGGTAGGTATAAAGCAGCATTAAAAACCACCAACAATAAAATTCAAGAAATAAGCATTGTAGTAGCCAGCAAAACAGGAGATTACTATATTCATACTGCTATTCATTAAATGGAGAAGTACATGCAAAAACTAAGATATCGCTCAAATTAACCATCTCATTATCTATTCAATCTTTCAGATGCAAAGATCAGAGGAAATCATCCTCATTACAGAGGCAATTTTAACAGGATTAGTTTAACAATCAGATAATTTAGGTACGAAAGGAAGGGTATGCAAATTTTGTTTACAGCCCTAATTTGCTGCCCTGGGCTTACAGGAGGTTTGACAGCAGTCTGCAGAACGCCATGTTATCATCATATGAATACAAGTGACAAACCACATGAAAATGTAGTGTATTCCTAGTTACAAACAAGATGGCTTAGGCTACTAGTCCTGGGGTTCAAGCCTGAGAAGGGTTCCTTACAGCTCAGGGGTGGGAGAGTGGGGATTTCAGGAAGGGAGAAACAACAACAAAATACTTTTTTTTCCTTCTTCCCCTTCTGAAACTTAATTCAAAGCCCTTTACTATTATACAGCAGAAATTTGGGAAAGTATTGTTGCTTTTCACCTTTCTGAAATCTGCCTGTACAGAACAGGTAGGCAAGCTAGAACTGTCCAGATGTTTTGGCCTACTATTCCTATCATCCCTTACTACTGATTATACTGACCACAGCTGAGAGATCAAAGATTGGGAGGGCCAAATTTCCCTCCTGTTATATGGTATAGAAAGGGTTAAAAAAAAACACCTTATCATGGCACAATCATAAATCCCTCTCTATAAGCTTGAGAAAGACATTTCTCTCCCTAGTTTTTTTCCCTTAGATTCTTAAATAATATTGCTAGCATTCTATGGTACAACTGCCCTCAACATTCTGTAGGCCCTGGAAGCCACTCAAGATGTTGAAGTCAGTGAGTTATCTTTCGTGTCACTCTAGCTAAGGGAACCCATAAGTCTATTTTTGTTTGCTATTGTCTTTTAAATTAAAACTAATACCACTATTTACCTAGGGAGTCACCCAGTATACAGACTACACCCTTATTTTTTGTAGTCGTGTTGGCTTGAAAACTGATATCTACTCTTGACTATATAGACTGACTCAAACATTAGAGGGAACAAGTGGTACTAGCAATGAAACATTGCAGCATATCCTCTGTCTTAGCAAGAGAGATTCTATTCGGGATTCCAGCCAGCTAGTTATTCCAAGCATCGTATTTCACTCATTGCACCCTGTTTTTTCCTCCAACTGCCAATTAATATGGTTCCTGAGCATGTTTATTCCTCATTGGACTATGGAGGTGGGGAGGTTCCTTTTATTTTAAAAAATATCTGCAATACTCTATATTTTTAATTTGTTTCATTTTTGTACAACTGCAAGTCTCAGGGTTCCTATGGTCATGGATACCTTCCTCTAGTTTCTCAATAGCCCCATTTTGTTCTAGTTCTACTACCAGACCACTGAGTTCGCACTAGGTGAAGCAATGATGATAAATTCTCTGACTTAAGCATTTCCTCACAGCAGGGTAAGACACAGTTCCTCCAAAAGTTAAGTTTCATGGCAATCTCGGTTCAATGATCAAATTTTTTCTTATTAATGTATCATCTGCCAATATGGTTTTAAAGAGCCTTTGGGGCAGCCTACACAATAGGTTATTTTCTCGTGTTTTGACTTGTTTTCTGAATGGATAATTGACAGTTAAGCAGCATGTAGATGCCAAGATCCCTAAAAATGGAGTGCTGTTCTTTTAAATGCAAACACTGAAATTACAAAAATCACAAATATGCATTATGCCCTACTGGCTGTCAATTCAAATGCCAACATCATTTTCAATAGGAAGTGTTAAGAAGATTCAAAATGATGAATCTAAACCATGAATACAATAAATTTATAAGTGCTTTAGAGTTTCTGGATTTCTGATTCTTGATATTCTGAAGCACAAATGGAGAAATGGAACCATGGTTAGTCTGACTGTGGAAAATGCCCTACTGAGATTCAGAGATATTGTCTTAATAACAGGAGCAATGAAACTGATTAAGCTTGAAAACACCAGCACTATGAATGGCAAGTCTATTAATGCCTGAGCCAGATAGGAGCACCTGTGCCCTGAATAGCTGAATACAGCTTCTAAAAATTTTGGTTGTATTTTCACACACTTTAAACAAATGTATGCAACTATGAACCTCAAAGGACAGAGTGTTACAATGTGAGGCATGATTTTCATATGTAGACAATTTTGAATAAGTATATCTCCAATATACTAATAAGGGAGGCAAAAACTGCACAATGCCACAAAGTGGAAATTTCAACCATCTTCTAGACTGATTAGGGTTTAGAAAAAGAAACTGTACTTTACATGTCTGTTTAATCCTCTTACTAAACAGATCACAGTTCTATAAGATCCCACGGGATTTAATGCTGTAGAGCAGTTCATGGAGCCACAGTTATATAGGGAAGTCTCTTATGTAGAAATATCAGTAGTGCTGTGATTCTGCTGTAAGAGTCTAGCTATTTTTAAAGATGCTGCTCAAAGGGTGAGAGAAGTTATGTCTGACTCCCCAGAAAGGGCTTAGTGAAGAGAACACAAACTGTTGGAATTTATTGAGGATAACATTCCCACTGATGACAGTTCCCCTTAACCAACCTGCCAGCATCTGTCTCCTTAAAGATTCCATCTTGGTTGGGGCAAAGTTCACAACTTGGGGAGACACCACATTTGCAGGCATCACAGAACCATGGTTCAGTTGAGTTTTCTGAAGCGGAACTCATAATAGAATCACTTTCACCATCAACACCGTAACAACCTGGAAAGATGGAAAAGGAAGACCAATTAAATGAAAAGCAAAGGAGTGGGTATGTATCTAGTGGATTCCTTCCTTGCCAAGAAATGTTTGCACTATATACTAAGTGCAAATAAAAGGTGGGGGGGGGGTGGCCAGGTGTATATATGTATCCTCATAGCTTTAAATGGAAGGAATCGGAAAGCAATGTTTGTTCCTTACCTTCCCTAGAAACAAACAAAAGCACACCAGGAATGGAAGGGTGCCTTCTTTTCCTATAAATGCACATGCCCCCTAATCCTCCACTATCAACTGTTCACACAGCAGAGGAGGAAAGAAAACAGTGATGACAGTTACGAAGAGCATCCACTGCCACCACCACTTATGTACTCCACGTGTGCAATGGACATGAGAGAGTAAAGGAAGAGCTGCTGCTACTGCAGGTGGCAGCAGAGAAGTGAGGGCTGGCAGTGGCAATGCCTGGAGTCATAGTGTCATGCCCTACTCCAAACCTGGAGATGACCCCAACAAATATAACTTAACCAAAAACAAGTCATGCCTGTGAATGTGATTATAATCACCAGAATTGCAGAGACATTGATTAGTTTAATGTTTCTTTGGGGTCAAGGCAGTAAACAACACCTAGAGCGAAAATGTGTGTAAGACCACTGCCACAAAGTACCTCGTAGAAAAAAGTCTGGGCTAAAATAACTAGAATTAGGATATCTGTATCTGTGCTGAAAAGTGTGCTGTTAGTGAGTGGTTCTTCTGACTGGATGGAGGGAATTCAACCTGTTCTAGATGGGGTCATACTCCTCTTGAAGAAGCAGGTTCATAGCTTGGAGATGATCCTTGAGCATCTTTGCACTTGAGGCCTAAGTGGTTTCAGTAGCCTGAAGTGCCTTCTACTGACTTTAGCTGGTGGCTCAGCTACACCCCTATCTGGACACAGATAATCTGTTATCAGTGATCTATGCTCCGGTAATCTCTACGCTAATTTACTGCAGTCTGCATGGTGCTGCCCTTGAAGACTGTGCAAAATGTGGCAGCCGGAATAATAACAGGGATCAGAAGGCCTGATAACAAAACACCAATTCTGGTCTACTTGCACTGCCTGCCTATATGCTTCTGAGCCAAAAATCAAGTGCAGGTTTTAAGCTATATAGTCCTACTGCGCTTGGGACCACAGTACCTGATGGAATGCCTCTTCTAGTGAGTGGACACCACAATCAAGTTATGGGACCTGATGGATTTATGTATTTATTTATATTTATAATTTTATTTCTAGATAGCTTTTCTGCCAGAGACAGAATTTCTAGATAGCTTTCCCCCTCCTGCAAGATGGGTTGGAACAACAGGAGCAAGAAACAGCGACAGTGCCTATAGTTGTGGAAAGAATAATGTTCAGAGAGTTGAAGCTAATATAGAACACATGGTACATATATTCAGTTTTTTAGTTCTACCATTGGCTCTAGCAATTTTTTCAGTCTTTCAAAGATACAGTATATATTTGATCAGAGATTAGAGAATGTTGTTAACAAAAATACAATGTGCACATCTATGGCCATAAGAGTTCTACTACACTACCTTCAAGTTTTTGAAAAAGGAGTGTCTCTATGGAGCCTTATTTATAAGAAGAAATAGAGGTAATCAACAGCAGAAGCTATATTCTAATTTGTAAGCAGTAGCTACCTAGAGTTTTTGAAGTTTTCCCTTGAAAAGGTGCACCCACTACACATAATAAAAGGTGCCCTTAAAAATAAAACGCAGGCACTATCAGATGGTTGGTTAGGTTATATTTTACATTTATGCATGATTGTAATCCTCCAGAATTATAGACACTTTCTTAAAAGCCTGAACATTTAAATGTACTTAAGATAGCTTAAGTATTAATTCAAATGACATCACAAAATACTGCAGTACTTAGAAGTAATTACTTTCTCCTTATAAAAAAACCATTATAGATGTTATCTAAATAACATAGTGAACACCACCACCAGAAAACAAGTTAGCACTCTTAAGAAAATGGAGACCACTGAAGAAGCAAGAGAGATTCTACAAAGATGGGGCAAGTTACACAGGTTTTTCAGGAAAAAACAAATTTGAAAATTTTCCAAACCAACCTAATTTGCATAGTTTCAGTTGCATAGGAAAATTTTCAAACTATATCAGTAAATGCCTTAGAAGAGGTGTTGGCAACTTGTGGCCCTCCAAAATTCTTCACTGTTAGCTATGCTGGCTAGAACTGATAGAAGTTATAGGCCAAGACAACTGGACATCCCTGTTCTAGGGAAGATCTAATTTAGTATGTTTATTTTACTCGTATTTAGTAAAGAAAGCTAAAAAGGTGGCTCTGCTATTTTTCATCCCAATATATCCCAAATATTTGACCTGAATACCTGGGGAGAGGGGCTTAAAGCATACTTAATGCTATATAAAATTTTTGCTATATAGAATTTTGTACTGAAATAGTTGAAAAAAAATGAAAACAATAGTATTTTCCTCATTACATTGCTTAAAATTAAGAAGAAAAACAACCAATAATGATACTGAAAATTGCTATCAAACTAATACATATTAGCAACACAAAGAAATATGTATTATATGCTGACAACTCATCTATTTCAACAGCATTTAACTCTCTTCCAACAAGGTTGTTGGAGCAACATCCGTTTCACTGTCACTATTTATTAGCTAAATTTCACTCTGAAACATATGTATTTCAGTAACATAAATGCATAATCTTACATACTGTCTAGGAATAATCACCTAAGAAACAATTAAAATTTTGAAAATGCCAAACCTGCCTCACATTTTATTTGCAACTGGCATTCATTCAATGAACTTAGGAAATTGAAATGTTTCCATGGAAAAATGAAGCCATGGAAATTTTTCCACCCCGCATCATGGACTTGAAAAGCTCATTTCAGGAGAACAGAATATATTGACACTATTTTATTAAAGGTGAAAATAGGTAAGGAATTATTCATAGTATGCCCAATGTCAATAGTAATGTAAACAAATGAATATCAAATTATTTTAGGCAAACAGAACCATGTCTTCAATTCACAGCAACAACCAAAGAACTATTGCCAGCAAGTGAATTGCCTGCATTTATATTGTACACTATGATGTATTTCAGACATTTTTCTTTAGACACACTGCAATCACTCCACCACTAGCACTGACACCATACCTGGGGGTATTCTGCTATTGCAAGCCAATTGGCAGACCTTGGCACAAAAGCAGCTATCCAATGTGACAGGGCAGGGATTTTTAAAATGGGATTTATCCAGGGAAGAATGTCTATCCATAAAACAACACGTTAAATATTAATTATACTTTCTTAGATGAAGTGAGAAACATAAAACTTGTAGTGAGACTATTTTACAACTTGTTGTGGGACTATTTTACAACTAGTTGTGGGACTATTTTACAACTAGTTGTGGGACTATTTTACAACTAGTTCCTGATGAAGAACTAATCTCTGTTGGGATAGGGAAGGTACACCCAAAAAGAAGATCTATACAGTGAAGAAAGTTTTCTGTAAAAATATGGCATTCCTTTCAATTTCAAGAAGACTTTCTACCCATCATCACAACAGTCCTCCATGTAAAATGGAGATCAGGGCCACTGTCAAGAGGTCAGCACCATCAGGCAGTTGCCGAGGGCCCACTGTCAACTCAAAATGAGTTTGACATGACAGTCAGTTCTCTGGGAAAGAGAAAGAATGACTGCCTGGTGCTGGAGCTTACCAGTTTAATGTCTCCATGATGCCCCTGGGTCTTGACATGGCACCACTATGAAGCCACCCTGAATTTAACTTCTTAGCACCCAACCAAGAAAACCAGAACACAAAAACAGGTTTATACACAACAGCAATACATGAAATATAAAGCTTTTAATTGCTATTTTCAGGTGGAAATATGCTTGGCTGAATCCAAGATGCCTGTCAGTAGGATTTCCATTCAAAGAATCTTGTTTCCTCCTTTCCCTCAAGAGCACTATGCACCCCCTAAAAATCTGATCTGTGGAGGGGGGGATTGTTTTGAAAATCACCACCATACTTCTATTTGTAGAACCATCCACTGTTGCCCTGCCCCTTCTGTGAATGGAAATGAAACTTTCCTTAATAGGAATCCTTCTGTTCATAAATGGGCATCTTTGGATCCAAATGAAGGAATTATAACAGAGATGCTTTTTTCATTTTTGTCAGCTACACTATCATCTGGTTGACACTTATTTTAGGGCAGCACATTCCTTTAAAAATCTTCAAATGTATTATATCTCTGATACTACCTTTTTGTGCTGAGGAACTATATAAGCTGAATCATACCTTGTTTGCATTAAATACTGTGAACTGCCTCTTAATAGGATTGCTGTTAACTTTCATTTACAGTTTCTCAAATGCCCAAGGACTATCATCAGCTTGATATAAAACTTTGTGGAAATTTTTTAAAAAGCAGATGAGAAGACACATTCATTCAAATGTAAATTTTTCCTTACAAACAGGAATAATACTTTTTTTATTTATGCCCCACTTACCAAAGCAGTCAACAATTAAACAGGACAAAATACAGATAAAAGAACAGAACTAGAAGCAAAGATAAAAAGTAGTACAAACAACAACAAACTACAACTCTAATAAAACAGTCATTTCCCACTGCTATGTAAAACACCTTCCAGGAAAGGAAAGTCTTGATCAGCCTTCTAAATACACAAATCAAACATAAAGGATGTAACTCCATAAACAATAGAGTTTGAAGACTACCAAGAGTGGCATACAGGTGACAGTCCTCAGCTCTTTGAAGCATAGAATTAGGCTGTAGGAAAACAACTATTTTACCATTTGCTTTCCATTCAGCTTGGGGCCTCAACTGGGGTGGGTGCTGGATTCACACAATGCACAAATCTGATTCCTCCTCAACCTATAGGATTCACAATGAGCACCAAACCATATCTAGAGTTTTGTGCATATACAAAATTATGAAGCTTGACAAATTCAAGCTAACTGGAAAAAACATTGTCAAGTGTCTATCCTGTAGTGAGAAGGCCCTGATCCTAGCAGCATACAGTGAATTCAAATGGCAATCACTGACTAGACTTATCAATAATTTATTGTAAATCTACCTCCTTTCTTGAGTTGCTCATCTTGTATCAGAGATACCAAGGATGGTCCATGTTTTGCTTGCATGCTTTTCAATAGCAAAGCATGTTGTCCTTCATTTTCATCAATACCAATGAATCGTAATAACAATTATTTAAAAAAAAATACACCTTTTCCACACAACATGTTCTAAGTGGCAAAAACATTTAAAACAATAGATACAATGCAATATAAATTGATAAGGCAAATACAGTTCAATTACAGAGACCCTATACAGTTAAAGTAAACTACAGAGGATTTAAATAATATCTAGGAAGTCAACTAAAACACACACCAAAGGCAGACACTGCCCAACAGGGCCTGCTCCCTAATAAATGCTATTAAGATTGCAACCGGAACTACTTCCTATAAAACTGAAAAGAAAGGAGTTTCATATGGTGATAGAAAGTTTATATGGAATAAGTAGGTTTCCCTAATGAGGGAGTTTCATAGCATGGCCACAGAGAAGATCTCTCCTGTTCCAACCAAACATAGTGCAGTATTTAATGGAGAGCCTACTGTATCACACATCTAATTTGACACAAAATAACTGTTGGGGCTGGGAAGAATGAGCAGCAATCTAGCTTTGGCTTCATGCAGTGCAACTCAGTATGCCTACTACTTGGGCAACATATTGAATCTCTCAAGCAGGAATTCCCATGTAATTTCTGGACATTAAATGGTTTATTTTCACTGGTTTCAGGAATATACTATTATGGATCAGTCACCCTCAACTAAAGGTTACTACAGTGGCATATTTACTATCAATATTTCATAAGTCGCCGATATTATATTTAAGTCTTTGTTTCTGTTTAGCTCATGCTTAGATTCTCTTTTTACATACCTAACTGATACACATTTAATATACAAAGCATTTTACAAGAAGAATGAAGGGCACAAAGAATACAGTTTTTAAATTCCTCCCCCTGTAAGAAAAACATGCAAATTAATAGTGAAGCATCAAGGTTTGAATACAAGTAAATTCCCAGACAGCAGATCAAAGGTACATCCAAGCAAAGCTTTACTGTGGATGCATGGAGTTTTACAAAGGGTCCATCAAACATCACTTACAATTGCCATGTTTCCCCACCACTTCTTCAAGCATGTTTCTTACCAGGAAAAAAGCATGTTAAAGAAGAAAAGATGGAATAGCTACACAAAGCCTTTTGATGGACAGCACTAGAAACCCTCTAGTAGGGCACACTACAATGCGCCTGGCTCTCAGTGCACATAAAGGTGTGTATGTGTGTAATGAACTTAGAGGTTTACATGCATCTAATGAATGGAAGAGAGTGTGGTAGAAGTGATTGCTGCTACTGTACCTCTTGCTGTGTATTTGATCAAGACAGGCATTTTCAAACATCTAGATCAGGGATCCTCAAACTTTGTTAACAGGGGGCCAATTGAAAGGTGCTGGTGATGGGCACAGGCCGCCAAGAGGCGGGGCGCGGCAGGGGGGTGAGCACACTGCGAGGCACAGGCTTGCTCACAAGGAGATCCTTTTCTCCGAGCGAGTCCAAAACAATCTCGAGAGCAAGCCGCTGCTGGGCGCGTGCACTGCAAGACGGAGGCTTGCTCGCAAGGAGATCCTTTTCTCTGATCTCCACACGAGCAAGCCTCCCGCCTCGCCACTAGCACGAGTGCGGCGAGTCCAAAACCTCTATGGTGGGCCAGATAAATGGACATGGTTGGCTGGATCCAGCCCACTGGTCATAGTTTGAGGACCCATGATCTAGATTAAGAACCAAGAAGGGGAAAGGAAGAAGGTTTTTGGCATAAGGTGATGGACCCAGACTCCTCCCCTCCTCAGCACTTAATCTAGATGGCTCAAAGCAGTTCTCTATGCACTAGCTATTGTGAGGGTGGGGGGCTTGTTCTTCAGAGTGCCAGCTCTGAGGTCACAAGGCCTTAGAACAGGGGATCAAACTGATTCTACTGCCACTCCACCCCCAACAATGCTAGGAAGGCTTAAGCTCTTATTGTCTACAAATCAGAAAACAGTGAATCATTTAAAGAAGCAAATCAGTTAAGAAACTTGATTTAAACAACAGTTGCTCTTTAAATGGACTACTGGGCCGAGTAAGGACAAGACATTTCCTTCAATTTTAACCTATGCCCTTTTTATTCAAACAAACATACATGCATATGTCATATGGTAATATCTGATAATTATAAAACACATCCATTTAAGCACAACATAATTTTACTGCATTAAGAAAAAAGTAAAGCTGTATTATATGTTCCAAGTTGAATATACAGCATATTTACCTTCATGCACTGTTATTCCACAATTGTCGCACTGGATTATTTCATCAGCATCTTCACTGTTATCTCCAAGACAAACACAGCAAATCATAATATGGTCCATTTTCTGAGAGCTCCAGCTTTGAGATTTCTCAAGAATCAGTGAATCCTATCATTGAAAAATGAAAATGCACTTGTTATGTTGGTAGACATGTTATGATGACTTATGTTCAAAATTTATATTTTTATATCAAGTGCTTGGAGATCCTGAAATGTCAACTTGTACAGAAGCAGTATGAATAAATAAATATATAAATAAGGCATATTTGCTAACTTCCTTGGTCTGTTATCTATTATTATTCTTCTAACATGTGAACATAGTGAATATGGGAAGGATAGATTTATCACATCTATTTGGGCCCTAACACTCCAAGCCTTATTTCACCTCAAACCTGAGATGCATTCTACAAAGCATGCCCAAATTATTGCATAACAAAGAATCCCAAAAATTTTCAATCTCAGTTATCTGAAACACTAGCTGGCTGAACCGGGTGGAAACTCCCTCTCACAGTCACCTTAATTTAATATTTCCTCTGCTTTGTTACTACTTTTTCAATATTAATACAGTATCCTGAGTAGCTCTAGGCATGTCACTTACTTTGATTCCAAAATACTTTATAGACTTGATACATTCTTCTAATCCAAATTTTAGTGTACTTGTACAAATGTAGCCAAAATTACATAATACATGTACAACTGGGAGGTATCCTCAGAATTAGGGTAACCTCAACATTTGCTAGGGTATGAAATCTTTAAAAAAATGCCCTGAGGGTCAGGAACCCCACACAAACTAACAAAATCTCAATAGCATAAAATTTTGATAGGCTAAGAGAAAAAGTAACTAACAAGTGGGCGGACAAAAAGGAGCACAGATATAAAACACAGACAGAATCATCTCATTAATTGGCTATGTCATCTCCTGGTTCACAATGAGAAGCTATTTTAAAATGCTCTCGGAAACTAAACTTTCTCACAAAAATCAATGGAGAAATTCAAAATTATACTGCAGCTGGGACTGGGTGCAAGAGTCTCCCCACCACCAAAACACAAAATTAAACCCAAAATGGAGAAAAATACATGAGTGGCTTAGAGCTTGTGAACAAAGGTTCTCCATACTGCAAATTTTGTTTGCAGGTACCACTCAGATCAACACAACAAGGATATTTATGACAGCAATTATCAAGTAATTCAAACATGTGATGTTTACTTAACTACTTATTTCCATAATTATATCCTGCCTTTCTGCATTAAAAGCTTCCAAGGTGGAATTTAAATATTCACTGTCTATTACCATGTGAATGCTTGTTTTTCTAATGTGTCTCCTTATCCACCATTAGATTATAAGATTATAATCCACTCATTATAAGAATAACCCACTACCTACTTAGAGAATCAATAGTACTGGCAGAGATCTGGTTGTCCTTGCCTCTCCAACATGCTTTAGAGTGATGAAAAGGGGAAAAATCAGCTTTAGTGAAAGCTGCTGTTCATTGCTAGCTAAGGGATTAGGAGCTGTGAAATCAGGAACTGTCGTTGTCATTTTCTGGAAAGTCAGTGTAAGCAGAGAGCAAGAATTACCAATACTGAATCCATCCAAGGTTTTATTACTGAAAGCTTAAAGCCAATGGAAACACAGGTTCCTAAGGCATTTGGTAACTCTTTCTACAATTATGAAGGAGGTTAAAGTCAAAAGAAGTACTGGAGAGAATGGTATTCCTAAAGACAACAGCAAACCAAGGTAGGGTTCAATTGCCAAACTCTAAGAATGGACAAAAACTGTTCAAAGGAAAAAAAGTAATCAATTCTAGTAGACAAACACAAACATTCAGTCAATTACTATAACGACTACTTACTGACTAGAATTTAACAAATGTTCTGTTTTCAAGATAGCATGGAGTTGGAGGTCCAGTAATACTGACTCCTACCAACCTGCATCTAAATGAACTAAGGGTAATCAAAAGGCTGTGCAACTTCCCCTATCAGTCTAACAGAGGCTTTGGCATAGTCATTCTACAGGTATCTCAGCTGCTCATTGCCATTTCCCTGTGTTTGGGTGCACATGGAGTAAGAAGCTATAGAATAAACAACCCAGGAGCGAAGTTACAGAGCCCACACTCTCAGCAAAGAATAAGTCATTGCATTGTATGAAACTTTGCTGGAAGGGCAGTCCTTGGAAACAACGGTTTATTTTAGAAGCCAGAAAGCCACAGCTGCATACCCTGACACTAAATGGATGAATCACCAGTGGTTTGCCTTGGAGTATTCTACCAAGGTCACAGGCAGAAACCACTCTAAATGAATACTGTCACTCAGATTAAGTGAGCATTTGACCCACTACTCTCTGGCATACCCAATCCTAGGGCTCAAAACAACCCCCCCCCCAAACGTAAAACTCCAACGCCCAAGGAATTAATAGGCACTTCTCTTAGTTCTAAAATGAAAAGAAACCTAAGCCACTCACTCCACTATATTTTGTAAGAGATAGTCAGGCAAGCTGACTATATGTTTTGCTGGAGCAGGGTCAACATTATGCTTCTACATTTGTTCGATATTACTTACAGTGGCAACCGCTTAAGTTACATTTTTGTTATTTTAAAGTTAGGAAGATACAGCACCATACATTATAGTGTTGTTATGAAGACTCTTTAGAATCAGGAATTAACTGATATTTAGTCATGTAATTGTATAGTAAGGATTAATAAATTAAAATTTTGTTGGATTGACTAAAAAGATTCTTCCAATTAATTAATGCATTTACCAGGCTAGACATATTTTCTTCTCTGTGAAAAAGGAGAACTCTAACATGTGACTGGCTCTCACATTTGTGCCTTGTCTAAAAAAAGTCAAAAACTATGATTTTTTCTATAAACTTTTTTATAAGCAAGTGAAAGCAAATTAGACTGCACTCCTATACATACTTACCTGGCAGTAAGCCTCATTGAACTCAATGGGTCTTACTTCTGAGCTGGCATGCAAAGGATTGTGCTGCAAAACAATTAAAATTAATATGATTTTTTGTGTGACAGCCCTAAGGTTTTTAGTGTGTGCTCTCTCCTTCACACAAACATGCACACACCCACACTGGATTCTATACTACTTAGGGACAACGAAACAATGTCTCATCTAACTTAGCATACCTAAACCTTCACAACATTAGTGAAATATGACAGGAACTTTCAAAATGGCAAAGTAAGCATTATGAAAGTTGGTCATCAAGGATTATTTTATATGAAGTATGGAAGAGATTACAGGATCTGAAATCATTGGGCTAGTCACCTATACTGTGACCTGGTTTGCACATAATGTGAACTCATGGTCACAGTATAGGTGTTTGATTCTGCATTGTGGTGATGTACAAACCTAATCATGCAAAAATAATATGGTTCATTAAACATGAACAACCCAGGGGCTGGTTGTGCCAGACAACAGTGTGCTAGGCAAGAATAGTTTAAAAAAAAAAAGTCACTCTGCATAACACCACAAAGCAGTTGGGATAAAGCAAGTGAAGAAGGAAGGGAACAAACAACCCAGGGGCTGGGAAAACAAACCATGCCTTCCTCAATTGTCTACTAGACAAATTCTCAGTAGGGCAAGAAACCACAGGTTAAATAAACTGTAAGTTAAAGTTATTGTGAACTATGTCAATACCGGGATCAGATATTCATCAAAAACAACATACACTGTTAAACTTTTGTTATTCAGGATATTTAGATGTAAACAAGTAGAATAGATAGGTAAGCAACAATTCAATGGCAACATTAGCTAGACAAGACTGCCACAAACAAAATCAGGTAACTGCTACAAAATGAGAATTGGTATATATTGCATTTCAGACCCCCTTTCAGGGCTTTGTCATGAAATACCATTATTGTTAGATATTTGCCTATCTGGAAGGGGAGGTAAATAATGGGTTCCTTTATTAAAGGAAAGAAGACATTCAAAAGATAGAATATGCAGGTCTTCCATGTGGGAAAGGACAGATATATTCAACATGGATTTCAAGACAGCATATACTGACTTCCCACGTGTCTTCTATTCAGACACTGCCCACAACCAAACCTGCTTAGCTTTAGCAGGATGGCTGGAGATTTCACAAGCAGAGAATGTATGGCTAGTAAAGCTCCAAGAATCTTCTTGGTTCAAACAATATCGAAATGATTAAATTAGTGAGGTTAAGCTTACACTCAAAGTATCTGTTTTAACTTAAGTAAATGATCCTTCAAATGTTAATAATTTAAGAGCTTTGGACTAGTATTTATGGAATAATATCAAATAGTAGTGTGTGAAAAAGCAATACTGACTGGCTGAGAAGAAAAATGATCCATGATAGATGATGGATTGAAAATTCTGAGAACTATATTGCAATAGTGGCTGTAACCTGCACACATCTCCACTAAAGACATCACTTTCAAGATGCAGCATGAATTGTCATTAGCAGACTAGTACTTCAACCTGCACATAGCACTTAGCAGTGTGATTCCATACAATTAAACTCTCTGGCAATCACTTTTCTTATTCCTTAAAATAGAACATTGATACAATTTACAATCCAAATAATGTATTTGTGCACATGAGATACTCCTGTTCAGCTAGATATGCCTTTGAAGGTTTCTTTCAAACTATTATCAGTAACACAGAGTTTTCAAAACCATTTTATTGGTGAGCAATATTTGAAGTAAAAACTTCAAAGTCAGTTTTAGTTGGACATGTTTTCTCATCTGCTTTCATGTATGTATATAACTTCTTCAGATTGCAGCCATAATATTTTCTCATCAACTTGGGGACAAACCATGTAACATTCAGCCTATTAATACCTGTAAAATGTATTGCAAGAAATAACTGGGAGGTTGGCCTAAAGGCAAAGAAAAGTGATAAAAATTGTGCTGATGAAAGATCAAAGGCTTAAATGTAATAGCGAAAGGTTTTTTACATCATGCGTGTTCAGATTATAATGCTCAATAACCATGCACTACGCATGCCAAGATATTCTGCAAAGAATGTGTGTTACTGCATTCCTCAAAAGACATTTGAAATTAGGTCCTATTAATTCCAAGTAAAAAGGATCATACATTTCTACCTTCACCACTTGTACATGAATATAAATACTACTTTTGTAAATCCATGTAACAAATCTCAGTATTCATAAAATATATATGTACCACAGGCTTCCTGGTCATGAATACTTACACAGACAAGTCTGCAGGAAATACTGCTGTTTCTGAAATACCATCACATCATCACTGTATACTGAAAATTGGATGCTGCACTTAAAGGACTGTTAAGGCAGCAAGTCTAAATATATTTATTGGAGAATAATCCCTAATGAACAAGAGAGAACTTAGTAAAGATGCATAGGACTGCATTGTTAGTAAAAGCAATCCTATAAACTTACACTATAGGTATTAATCATGCTATGGCAAAACCAAGAGTCTACCATAGCAAATAATGGCCACATATGTTCCATACTAGTCACATTGTACATTTTGAACTAAAACTTGTATTAGATTTGGGTGAGCAACATATAAACTCAATGTGATCCTGAACTACCAAATTTAGTAGTGGCAAAAAATACTACTGCACAGCACATTAAGTACTGCAGAGTTTAAAAAGTTAAATCTGACCCTTTTAGTTTGCCACAGCTGCAAAACAAGTTAATGTTTTAAATACAACCCTTCTAGCACTACCACGTATTTTCCTTAGAATTTTGACAACAAGCAATAGACTTGGCGTAGTTCAGGCCACCCTACAGAGTATGGCCCATGGAAGGGTGAAGCCCAAGGGGGCAAAACTGATCCCAGATCTTCCAGAGTCCCCCCCTCCATGTGTTGGATAAAAAAATTAAAATCAATATTTGAAATTTTGTAAAATACAAACATTAAAAATGGGATTAATTCAAACATTTAAGTTTAAATACTGGTTACTTTTAAAAGGTTCTAAGTGAACTAAAACATAAAGATTGTTTGTTCCTTGTACAGAGCAACCCAACTACTACTAATGCTGGTTGAATCCTAAAATTCAAAAAATCTGGCATATCCTACAAAGGAACTCTGGGCTGGAGATAGTATACAAACTTGCTTGCTGTGAAATACAAAAGATGGGTTGCTACTGCATGTAAGGATTGTGCAGCTAAAGTCTCAAAATTAAGTTTCTATTTAATTTTGCTAGCATCCATTACAACTTTGAAGGGTACACACTATAAACACATTATTGTGTTTTAACATGGGAAAAGAATCCACATGTCGTAACTGAGCTTGATCCCCTTTAACTAATTCTGAAATACTGAGAATATGCTGCTCCTAGAACCAGAGACTTACAGTTCAATCCTGTACAAGTCTACTTAGAAATAAATCCCAAGTGGATATGGGACTTCATCCTTAGCTCACAAAACCATGTAACCTTACCATTCATTAGAATTTTTATGCATTTACTGCAGTATTTCCTAATTATAATCCTAATTTGTGCACAATATAGTGCAGATTCTCACCAAAAGTTAATTTATTTTACATGTTTGAGATATGATCTAAAACCCAAATCCAAAATTAACTGAAGCCTGTGGAAGATTGCCACTGGTCTTCAATGGATGGTGGATTCAGACATGAAGCTGATGCAAATTTATCTTAATGAGCATTAAGCCCAATTCTGTAGCTTATTAATGCAATTATCATTCAGCAACTCTGCCTTGCCCTGGAGAATAATTTCAAAACAATTATATGCCAGAATATTTTTTCATTTTTCATCAGAGGTACTATAGAAAGTTGTCTATTCTACCTCATTGCTCTTGCTTTGTGAAAGGGCCAGGCTATCATTTGTCAGCTCCTCATCATCAGCACTATTTCTGCTAAGAGCTTTGGCTTTTTTCTTCTTGGATCCAACATCACTAGCAACACTGCTGTTATCATCATCATCATCATTGCCTTCCTCTTCATTGTCATCCTCATCACTTCCACTCCCATCATCTTCATCTTCTTCATTATCTCCATCACTTCCTTCTCTCCGTAACGTGTTTTTCCCCTTCTTCTTCCCAGCAGTTGGACGCCAGTCATTGTCATCTTCACTGTCATAATCATCTATATCATTTAGCTCCTCCATGGATACAAAATCTAGGAGAGGGCGGTTTCTCCGCAAATTCCACTTTTTGGGTTCATTTGTCTGCTCATCAATGTCAGCATCTGCTTCAGAAGGTTTTTCTCTTTCTTTTTCCTTCTCTTTTTTCTTTCTTGACTTCTCTTCTCCTTCCTCTTCCTCCTCCTCCTCCTCCTCCTCCTCCTCCTCTGTTTTCTCAGTTTTAATCACCTCTTTCTCTGTTCCTGGCAATTCTTCACCACCTGAGCTTTTAGGTTGTTCTTCTGTTTTTTCCTCTTCTTCTGCAGGCTCTTCCTCCAAGATATTTTCTTCTGATTCACTACAGGACCCTTCTCCGCTATCCTTTGATCCATCTTCACTGCCATGTCCACTGCCTTCAGAATCTGTTGAGCATATGAAAATTTAAAAAAGGAGATCCAAAGTAAAATGAACCAAAAAGAAAAAAAGAAACTTAAAAGGCTTGAGGCAACCAGCTTAGACAAATTAAATATTCTTCCCTTAAAGCTCACCTACCCTATTTTTTCCATTTGGCCTTTTTTTATTATTTGTCATAACTGTTTTATTATTTTAAACCTACTGATGAAGAATGTTTGTGTTTGACAGAACATCAATAAACTCTTACTGCCCAACATAACAGATATAGGAAAGAACATTTTCAGATACATAGTTCAGTACCCAATGAAGAGCAACACTACACTAAACTGAGTAGCTAGTTTAAAGAAACTACTAACCTATTTCCTACACAGCTGAACCCACAAAGCCATCAGTTCAGAACCACACAAAGTGATTCTGGCAGTTAACATTTGGGTAGTTTTGAACAAACGTTTGCATGAAGGGATTTGATTTTTTTTCCCAACCCTGGCACTGTGGCAATGAAAGTACTTTTGGAGAATCTATAATGGGAAGACCTTTTCATGAGCATCAACATTAAAATCCGTCAATTGAATAATGCTGATTCTTGACAGTAATACAATAACTGAGTGGCCTTTTAAGTTTAAAACAAATTGACAGTACTTTATAAATGTGAAAAAACCGTAAGGGCAACCTATTCCCTTCCTGTAGCTTTAATGCTGCCATTTTAACAAATGAATAAAAAATAACTATACAATTTCATGAATATTCTTAGAAATATGTTATTTTCCTAAACATTAAAACATGAATTTATATTATTTTCCTTAAAACACCAGAGAGAATAATCTTATGGTCCCCTAGACATTGCCTGAGAAGCCACAGAACAATTTGGAGTCCCAATTCTGAGGCTGAAGGCAATACTCCAACTTTGGAGCTGGGAGTTGGAGCTCCAGCCCATCTCTCTTGAAATCAGGTAAGAAAAGTGACTTCAGAAATTTAGTCCTTTTGCCACAGAGGCTAAAAGGGGTGTTCTGGGGGCAGCAAATAGGTAGACAAGAGCAGACAGTATACAAGGTATCCAGTCTCATTTCTCCCCATTTCAAAATGCTGCAAAAATTTTTAACTGTCTTGCAACAATGCGGAACATGAGGACCAAAGAAGCAATTGCCTCTACTGCTCCTCCTGTTCTGCACTGGATAAGCTTCATCATCCAGATTTGGAGGCTTATGTTAATATGCATATGGCTGCACCCTACGTTTACTGGTATAAACATTATTCTGCAGTATTCTGCAGCATTTCCCATGCTGGTGCCCTCCATATGCTCTGGTTTCAACTCCCATACACTGTAGCCAGCAATGACCAGCATTCACTATTCAGTTTTACTCTGCATATCACCTTGTTCACAAATGAAGATGCACTGCACCTCAATAAAATGCAGCACTATTACAAAATGTGTCTACACATCTGAAAAGCCATTTGGTATTTCCTAACCAAGCAAAATGATGAAAATATCAAAGTGATCCTAGAGCACTTACTAGTTTGAATCAATAGAAGAAATACGGTATGACTATATTTCTGGTATTTCATCTGTGTCAGGAGTGTAACCTCCACAGATATAATAACTAGGTATCCTAGAAATGAGTTTTGTTGAAAATTTTGTTATTGCAGTCTAGAAGGCCAGGGACAGACACTATGTTTTCCATCTGAATGTATCTCAAGCTACTACTGAGACACTTTGTACAGACAAAACTTTTCATATCAACTGGCTCTTACGCAAGAGAAAAACAAACTGAAAAAGCCCAACCAGTCCATCAGAAACTCTTTAATGTCCATGAACGCTCCGCAGAACACCAGACTTTAGAGAAGTCAGATAGCCTAGATAATACTCAGTTGGAAGACAATGAACCATCGCACTCTTCATAATTCTGTTCCTCACAGTAATGATAGTATGGTCACCAGTTTTCTGATTGCTTTTATCTCTTCATGTACTACTAATTAAGAAGCAACTTCTGTATTGCTGGTTTATTTCAATCTTTGTACGCCAATGTGCTTTGGAATACAAACTAATAAGTAAGCAACTATTTTTGTGGAATGTGCAACTTTTATACTATTGGTAGCATTATTTTAGTGGCAGGAAAGGCCAACAATATTTAGCCATTCCCCATTTACAAACTATATGTACTATACAATTCCCTTTTTCCTATGTGCATATTAGCATAAACAGGTTTCTTGCCACTGACTCTCTCCTGTCACACCAATGGATTCTCCAGCCTGCAGGAGAGCATGTACACCTGAACAGGAGTGCCTGGATTAGCCTCACAGTCTGTAGAGTAGGCTGAAAAAATCCTCATAAAATTCAGTTAGTAGCTACTTCCAAATACTTAAACAGCTTGTTTATGGCATGGTTTAACTTGCTGTAATTCATTTTAACTTCTGAAGTATGTTCTAGGACAGAACTGAGTTTCAAAGTAAGCTGGAAAGAAAGAAAACAGAGAGGCTTTTGACTTGCCTCTCATAAGAAGTGATCTTCTTAACAACAGTAGGAATGTTAGCTCTGATATTCAACAGGTGGTAATGTACAAATTTTCATATGAGAATGGTCATATGCAAATGACTTGAGAAAAGTAAGGAAATGGTAAGTCTGAAAGAGCCAGGGAATATAATTCAGAAACAATTTCTAAAATAATCCCAGGCAATGCCAGATTCTATAAAATAGTCCCAAATACTGTTTTTATGTGATCTGTCTCATTTCGAGACTCAAATAAAATACAAAACAAGATTTCATGACATGAGCTACAAACAGAACTGCTGGAATAATGCAAGCTTTAGAATTTTCACTCAACATTTTAAAGAATTAAAATTCTGGATGAACTTCAATATGCAGCAATATCTGCAAACTTTTACATCCATTATCACTGTGTATTAAGACTCCAATCCAAGTTTATTTTCAAACTACAGATGAGACAAAATAATGGTACATTTCATTCACTTTTGTTTGAGAAACTGTAAATAAAACCGATAGAAAGAGGGAAGATATTCAAGTTAAAGACCAGTATTTAACTAATACAGTACAAAAATCTAGCAAAGTTTTTGAAAGAGAAAAAGAGAGCCAGACAGATAATTTCTATTAACTTATTACACTTGGAATCTGCAATGTTTTGATAAATGTTGCATTATTATTTTTCCTCATAAAACTGCTACAATGTAATGAGATCAACAGCAATTTGTGGAAGGCTGCCCAATAAACATTTCATGGGTATGCTGCAGTCTGAGTTCACTATACTGAAAACCTTAAATAAATGTAATGCTTTGACAAACTACCTAAACATTGCACTAGCATCATGATCAAACTAGACTCTGCTTCATGACACACTGATTCAAACCAACAGCTTGTCACACAGAAGCAGCTGACAGCTGCATGTACCTACTGCAAGTATTATTTATTATTACTACACTTACATCAATTTCTATTCCATCATGGGAAACAAGGGATTCCCACAAAAATTAAAGGATTTCCATATGGGATTCCCAAGTGGTCTCCAAGCATTGACCCAAACCAAACTACTTAGCTTTTGCAAGGAAGCGGCCTCATGTGCCCTCAGGAAATGCCCTGGAACCCAGCTATCTAAGCTGGCACAAATGTCACTGTTCTGTAACCACCCAAAATAAAATCCATGGGACCTCTTTGCAGACAATACTACAACTGCTTCCAGAACATGTTCTAGTAACACTTAAGTGTTTTGGAAATTAAAATAGATTTTTTTAAAAAAATCTTTCTTAGGCACCCTGGTAAATCTAGGGGAATTTCTGGACAATCTGGAAAGACAACATTCTGGACAATCAAGGGAACATTTCTCCTGTTCCTCTATATTTTTCCATATTCAGATGCTTGTAGATCGTTTTGTAGCCACCCCATTCCCCAGTACACACACCACCACTTTAAGCCAAAGATCTTCTTTTCCCAGGTAATTTTAACATTCTAAGGAAGGAGTTGTGAGCCTATTTGGGTTCTCTTCCTTTCCAGGAAAATTTCTGCAGTGTGCATAGAAGAGCAGGGAAGGTCTCTTACAGAAATCAAGCAGGGCCAGTTCACATTGTTTTCCATACACATAAATACCTACACTTGTTCACAGAAACCCACCTACAGACTCACAACACATCCATCTTCATATGAAGTCCCCCACCCTCTGAAATATTTTCCTTAAGCTGAGAGTCGCAGCTGGGTTGTGAGAGTTAACATTCCCTCTACAGCTGCATCCCTGCCAAATGAACCTCCTCCACCCCTAATCACACAGTGTGATTAGGGTGGGAAAAGCTCTCTGCTGACTGTAGAAGGCTTCCTCCAAATTTAATTGCAGCAATGGGGCAATTGTGTGTCACAGTTGGGGAGAAAAGGCTTAACTCTCCCCTCCTAACATGCTTTGAAGCTCTCGAAATTCACCTGCTTGTTTTGTCCAAGATATAATTAGGCTTGGAAAAAGTCTCCCACAGACTTCAAATGTGCATCTCTTCCCAAGCATAAGTGCAGTGGTGGACAAAATTGTGAAGAAATTTCTGTATACAGGGAGATAAAGGTAAACTCTTCCCTCTGGAGCTGCAACACTCACTCTCAGTCACCCCCACCCCTTCACCAAAGCCCTCTTCAACTGGCATGGGAAAAAGCCTTCTGTGTAAAACCAATGGTCCACTATTTTTCAAGTCAATCTGCAGGAGGAAAGGTATGAAAGAGAGGTTGTGGGTTGGATGGATAGGGTCTGGGGGCACATGTAACCCATCAGCAAGAGGCTGCAGAGCAGCCTTCCCAGGTCTAGTACACTCCAGATGTTTTAGACTTCAACTTTTATTAGCCCTCTCAAGCTATTGTGGTCAATGGTCAGGAGCGCTTCAAAACAATTTTTGGGCAACAAGTTGAGAAAGGCTGCAGTAAAGAAAGACCTAGCATCCATAATGAAATTTCCAAGTTTGGAAATCCTTTAGCCCACTGTGGATGTGGACACAAAAGTCAAAAGGCCAATCATTAGAAGTGGCACAAAGTTTCAACAGAAACACAACTTGAGTTTGTTGGAACATCAAATCCACCAAGCTTCCACTGTTTCTCATTCTCATTTTTTGAAGAATATCCATGTAGAATTAACCTATTTCATTATGAGAAAGATTTAGAGATCATTGATTTCAAATAATAATTTAAATCTTATTTATTCACTTGAGTTGCTGAAATAATCAGCTACTCTCCTAATAAAGTTTCATGGTTGTTTGAATATGCTGACTGAATTATTTTGAACAAAATAATGAATTCTGAAGAACCTGTGAATTAGGGGTGGCTATTCATTTCTACTAAGAAGGAGCTCAAATTTGAGGGCCTGGAAATGGATGGAAAAAATGGAGATGGAATGGATGGAAAAAATTTCGTATGCACCACATTTGTTTTTAACCAAATTTGAACAGCTTTAGATTATAAAATGTTTCTTTCAGAATGATGAAGAAAAGATTTAAGACAATGGGTCTGCATATTGCAAACCAGTGTTGACTGTTATATAATGACTAATACAAAATTTCTGAAAATAATACAGGCATGGGGGAAATGTTCTTTGCAACATGTCCAAGCTTTGTTATTTCCTTATTCAAAGATCTGGTATTTCTTTTATCAGCATACATTTAGGGATGCTCCAAGTCAGTTTCAGTTTCCCAACTAGTAAGTAAAAGCACCACAGTACAGAAACTAACAGGGCAACGTTTCATAATATGGAAGTTATTTTTCCCATGATGCGTTTTGTTCTACGAGTTCCAGCCTCTGTTTCTAGGCTTCTTCTGGTTAGATGCTGTAAAGTAAAGGTAAAGGTTTCCCCTGACATTAAGTCCAGTCATGCCTGACTCTAGGGGGCAGTGCTCATCTCCGTTTCCTAGCCGAGGGAGCCAGCATTTGTCCGCAGACAGTCTCCGTGGTCATGTGGCCGGCATGACTAAACACCAAAGTGCACAGAACGCTGTTACCTGCCCACCGAAGTGGTACCTTTTTATCTACTTGCATTTGTGTGCTTTTGAACTGCAAGGTTGGCAGGAGCTGGGACGGAGCAACAGGAACTCACTCCATTGTGCAGATTCGAACTGGCGACCTTTCGATCAACCAGCCCAGCAGCACAGCGGTTTAAACCACTGTGCCACCTGCAGTCCCTTTTAGATGCTGTAGCAGTCCATTAATACAGGTCTAATCTAAAACCCACATGTGAAAGAAAGCACACTATCCTGCCACTGTCATCAGATGTGTGAGAAGAGCATGTTATCCCACCTATGTTTGTTTCTTTTTTAATTAACTTTGAGGCATGGGCCTATAAGACTCACTGTCACACTTTTTAATGGAATTCTCAGTTAACCTCCCCACTAAAGAATGCCTCATCTATTATCCCTTTAACTGCAACCATTAGAACAACCCTCTGTACCTAAAATAAACTCAGAAGCCTGGCTCCTATGGTATAGGAAATTTCCCTCACCTTCCTTACCAACAGGAACTGATGTGGTACACAAGTGTTTCTCTGCTTTCAGTTCTTTTGGCTATTTCTGTCTTCTAGGTTTATTCAGATGTTTCAGATCACATGTTGAAATTGCCTCAGGTCAGACATAAAATATGAACCTAATATGTATTATGTGTAACTTGCTTTGCTCATATTATCATGTATGTTATACTGAATGTTCTAAGTTATCTTTTTAAAAGGTTCAATTTGAATAATGAATAAATATATTTACAAGCAAATCAAATTATACATAATGTAATTTATATTCCTAAAAGTCAGCACTTGAGGGCACCAAGTTGGGGAAGGATGTCCTAAAGCAACACAGTGGCATGAAGTCTTTAAAGAAAACTAAAAAACTAAGTATTGCGTGTTTTCTCCAAATTGATTTTTCCTCAGGGAAAAGATGTGTTTCTGCCCCACCCAATGACTTCAACATATCTAGACATGTTACATTGCTAAGCAGGAATTACACACACAGTTTACAAAAAAAAAAATCAAATTGAACTCTGCTTAACTTGGAAAAATTTCTATATACTTCGTTTATTGTATATGAACATCTAATCGCTCTAAAGATTGCAATGGTACATGGCTTCATTCTATATTGAAACCAATATAAAATCACATTGTTAGAAAGAACATCTAGTTTAACAGTGACCAATTTAATTCAGCATGATGAAAGCCTCATATTTGCTGTAGCATAGTCCAGTAAAATATTGGCTACCAGCAATACACATTGCAAAAGATTTTACTTTTAATAGGACTCATATGAGACTGCTGAACTACACAAATTGATCGTCAGGGACTGCTTTCACACTGAAAATTTTCATAGATGGTGAAACTTGGGGAACACAATAACCATGCCAGAACTGGCCTTGTTAATGCTTCCTGCCATTTCCAAAGTACCACCATTGTACAGCATGTTACTGTCCAACCTGCTACTGGAAATAACTGGTAACACATCAGCTAAGGATACAGAACTGAAATAAACAGCACCAAAAACAATATATGCCCTGGGTCTTTGATTATATGTTTTGTGCAGTACACAATTCATAGATTTAAAAAGCTGATTCTGACATAGCTAATGCAAATCCAAAACTGCTATTATAATGCATAGTTTAAGGGCAATTTTTAATAGTGTATTAATCTAAGCAGCCAACAGCAATACAGAAGGATTTTGTCCAGATGGTCCAAAAAGGACCATCTTCTTTATACAAGCTTAACTGGATTTTATGACTGTTGAAGTGAAAATCTGTGGATCCTATCCAGCTCTCTGCTGAGATCAAAATGACTCAAACATAGCTATAGACCTACCCCAATGCTGTGGGACATGGATGTCTTTGCCCTCACCAGCCATTTTTCTTGCACTACTATCTGAACTCTTTGGAGGTTTAGCAAAGTGTCAGGACCTAGAAATGTAGCATGGAATTAAAGGCTTTAGATTAGAGAGGGGGACTTAATTTGAAATTATGGAATTTTTACCAGCATGCTAGAAGAGAGAAGGGCAATCTGACTGGCAGAATTGTGCAGACTCTGATAAGGAACAGCTAGAGGGACTTGAGAGATGGATTTGCAAATAAGAAGGCAGACAAGATAGGATGGGCATGGCTATAGTTAGAGGGACCTCTAGTCTAATTTCCCTCTACGGAGTTCTGCACCTCAAAACTAATTCTTGAAGTCTATCTACCAAGTTAGAGGTGATTATGGAGCAAACTATTTAGTTATCTGTCTGGTTCGAATGACACACTGAATCTTGCAGGAAGATGGAGGGTACTGACTATCTGAAAGAACATGGCAAGCACTGACTAGCTTTGCCTAGATCACCAGTTTCCTATAATTCTCCAGCCCTCAAGATCTTGCTGCCCCATCCCACAGTGCTAGTCATTTCCTCACCAGTCCCTCAGTAGATATTAAGTACTTTCTATGGAAAAATCTTTCTGTAGTTTACCTAAACACCAGGGCTTTTGTCAATAGATAGCTATCAAAATGTTAATGTACTTTAAAAACAATAAGACAGAATTTAAATAATGTAGGGGTTGGGGGGGGCTTAAATTATTTTGAAACATGAGAAGGGGAAAGCATTTACCTGAAGCATCTCCAACCTTAAAGTCACTGTCATCTGAACTGTCATAATCTAAAGCTTCCAGCAGGGAAGCTGCCAAAGGCTTCACCTGCCTCCTCTTCGAACTACGATCCACTGCGGGGGGAAAAACAGAAAAAGAGAAAGAGAGGCATGTTTCGTTTTGCAATTAAGACAGGTCGTTGCGATACGGTTGGCAGGAGAAAGGCTAAGAATTAACATTGTAAAAAAAGAGAAAAACTTCAGAATCGTGAAACGAGTTTAATTGTGATATGTGAAGGCTGGATCCTGGGGATGGAAGGGCTGCGACTTCTTTGGGAGGGTTCAGCTCTTAGAGGGAGGGGAGAATGGAAAGGAGGGGACAGCGCAACAATAAAGACCACCGCCCCCGAGATGTCCCCCCGCGCCCCAGCAAACAATGGGAGCATAGGAAGAACGAAGGGCAACCCAGTTCATGCACGGAGCCTGGTGAGGCGCAAGAGGTGCTCGGTTTTACGGTCCCTGAGAGATCCCCGCCGCCCGTTCGGGCAGGACCAGGCTGCGCTGCTCCCGAAGGAGAGGCAGCCGCTGCCTCGACAAAGGGGAAGGGAGCCAGTTCCTCGGGCGCTGCTGGACTTACTCACTGGAGCCGAGCAGCCGCTGCCGGGCATAGAGAAGGCCGCCTGTGCCCGACAGGGAGCTTCGCTCCCCTTTACATCGCCACCGCGCTTGGGCTGCAAAGGAGGCTGCTGCGTCCCCTAGGCCAGCTCCGTAACCCAGACAATAGGAGAAGCCGCACCCCGGATGCAGTTCCTTCCTCGCCAAACCGAGAACAGGAACCGACTCTTTGAGGCGCCTCGGCAGCTTCCGCTGACTGGACCCACTCTGCGCATGCGCAACAGTTCCACGCAGGCGCATTGGGCGAAAGTGAGGGCATTCACCGCCCCCTGACCGGAGTGCCACTAGCGTCGGAGCGCGCTTTCCTCTTCAGCACCACCGGAGTCGAGCGGGGAGGGAGGTGGCTGGCAGTCGGGCGGCTCTCGGTGTATCGCCTTGCACTTTTTCAGTCTTTCATCTGAATTGATTCTTGAAGACAAGGGAGTTGTTTTAAATGCGAAACGAAACGGGCACAGATCCATGCTTTTCCATTGTTAATTTTTTATTATTAATAAGGTTATGATTTTGTGGGGTTTATTTGAACCTGTATTGCTTTATCGGAGGGTGTCACTTACGGTATTCTGTACTTTGTGTGATCTCTTCGAACCTGCTTTTTGCAATGTGCTGAACACATTTCGTTTATACAGAAACCCTGAATAACCAGCCATGAATTTATTAGCATAATCTGATGTAAAATGATGTAACTCAAATCAAGTAAAATTTAATGAATAACTGTAATAAAGTATTAATTTTAGCAATTTAATTAGCTTTGATAGCCTCACCACCGGCCTTTCCTTTTGTTGTTCTCTTCTTGGGAATGTTGTTTGATATAAAGCGGCATATAGATTCTGTAAATAAATACACATATTTGATTAGCTAATAGTGATGATGACTTTGAAGGGGTCTGTAGCAAGCCTGCAGCCAGTCAGGAACCATCTTCCCTCATTGCTCAAATACATCCAAAGAGTGGGGGTGCAGGAAAGGTAGCAAGGAGGTTCCCCTCTTTTTTATCACATATCCCTCCCACCATTTGTCCATCATGGAACTCACAGCTGTGTAAATGAGGCTTAGACAGATGCTCATCTGAGCCCTGACCATCTCTAAACCAGTTAAGCTATAGCAATGTAGTTGCATCACCTTTCCCTGAGTGGTTTATTGAAGACTACAGAGCTGTCATTGAAAGTGCTTTGTTAAAGGAAATGCACAATAGCAACTCAGTTAATAGCTATTCCACATAAAAGCCTCCATGATTTGTGGTAGTGCAACTCTGAATTATCAAATGCTTGTTTCAGGCAGGTGTCTTGGAAGCATCTGACTGGGTTTTTCTTATATGCAAGAAAGGAAGAGCTTCTTTTGGATTTTGTCTCTTTGTTGTAAAGAGATAAAAAACAAAAATACCATCTGTCCAAGAATGGCTCCATCTTAATAAGACAAAGTTCAACATTAAGAATGGTGGTAATCTTCCATTGAACAGAGTTCTGTAGGAGTAAACCAGCCCCCAAATATCAAATAACTGAGAAGTTCTTACTCTCTTGCCATCAATCCACACAATATAGTTATCACCCTAATGATATATATACAGTACTTCATACTCTCAGACAAGTATGCAAATGATTCTTTCTTAACTATTTTGCCTTCCTAGCAAATTGAAGCTGCCAGAAAGCAAGTGCCCTTTTAAAACATTGAGCTAAGATACGACATATAGACAACTCTTAGTAATTTTGGGCAGGGGCAGGATTAATATCTATATTTCCATGGCCTTCTCCACTCAGTATAGCCTGACATTTCTGAGCAACCTGGTACCAGGAGCTGTAAGCATGTGTCTACACTGGAAAGAGCAGGACAACAGGTACAACAGAGTTAAGGTGGCTGAGAATCAGAAAACATCTTCTATGAAAAGAGAAGGCAAGGGAAGTTCTCCTTCCAGTGAAGAATAACAGCCAAAAGGAACTTTGTAGAAGATTAGAGAGCTGAAAGGTTAATTATCTTTAATAATAAAATTATCATCATCATCTGGGAACAGAGAAAGGAGAAATAAGGGGGATTATTATGGAGAAAGTGAGTATAAGAGCAGCAGGAAGGGGGAATGAAGGGAACTTTTAGTGGGAAGGAAATAAGGTAAAATGTAAGTGTGAAAGAAGAGAACAAGAGAAGCTGAGTAAAAATACCGTGAGAGGCATATCTGAGGAAGAAAGAAACAATGTCTTCTTAGGGCATCTGGAACAGCATATTTTGCTTAATATGGGGAAGTTGATATGGGGAAGTTACAGCCATACTTCCAATGGGTGTACTTAATCAAAAGACTTGAGTTAAATAAGGAATCAGATAAGGAAACACAACAGACTTGATAGGACAAAGAATTCTTAAATGGTTGAACAGTGATGGAGCACAATCAATATTATTGTACATTTTGTGTAGAAAATGGGAAGATAACTGTTTAGGATAGAAAGGAATCCTTCACTTGGCAGGGTATTTTGATCATGTTTCAGTGAGCAGAGAATGTCAGCTGAAGGAGTTGATTCTTAAGGGACAAGTCCCAGAGAGGCAAAGCAGATGGGAAGAGACAGCATCAGTGGAGCAATGCATAAACTGGTGAGTTGTTCAGACAAGTTTTGTGAAAGACAGGAGGTCTCTTGCCGTCAACTTCAGGTCTAGGGGGAAAACAACCCCCTCCGAAACAAGTAAACAATCTTTTCCCTCTTCCTCTATTTTTTCTTTTGCTGCAAAACATAAAACTATTATTTCACACAGTAACGCCTAAATCCTTGATACCCATATTTCCCCATTTTTAGTGTGTTGGTGTGTGATGAGCCTATACTCAAAGGAACTTTTTTGATGTCTTTGCTCCATGCAGGAAAATGAAGAATCAAAATATGCTGTATTTTCCTTATCACATAATTTACACCTCAATCTAGGCTCTGCTGATCAAATAAAGGAAGATAAGAATTTCTAGCTCTGAAGTCTTATCACAGCACATATACATTACACACAATCATACAATGTGATTTTACAGGCATATTGTACATATGCTTCAAAGAAGGAAGACAGGCCTCACTGCTCACATCAAAACCTCTCATTATCCATCTCTCAGAAACATACTAATGCATCCTTCTACACTTAAATGAAAATGTCTTTAAGAACAAAGATAATATTCTGAGAAAACGAAAATATTTCCCTACAGCAATTGGCAGAGCACCCAAAACAGAGAGGGTTCTAAAAGCTGCAATCCAGTGTGGTTGCAACCCTGGCAATTCTTTTCTGATACCCATGCCCCCCCGCGCACACACACCGCAAGTCCCAATATGAGTGCTGCTTATCACTAAACCATAATGCTATCAGATTGTACAAACCTGCCACCTGCTTTTGTAGATGTTATTAAATCTAGCCATCTTGCTGAGCTGCCTTGGCACACAAGGCTGTGATCCTAAAAGCATATTTTATTCATATGCAAATTCTCCTTTTTAATGCAACTTCTTCATAAACTGCTCAGAGCCCTGCTATTTGCAAGATACACTGTGCCTGCAAACAGATGGTGGACTGTCTATACCATTAGCTTTCAAATGTTCTCAAGAGAGATGCTGCTTATGACATGGACACTGTGCAAAGTTGTGAGTGCAGTAGAAGCTTGGTCTTTGGTCATTGTCGTCCCCTTTTTCTTTTTCTGGTTTTGACTTTCCATAGCATTATCATCTTCTCAAGTGAGACTTATCTTCTTATGATGTGTCCAAGGTACAACAGCTCCAGTTTTGCCATTTTTTGCTTTCAGAGCTTTGCAAATATCCTGGACTGAAAAAGAAACAAACAAGCAAACAAGTGGGTCCTAGATGGAATCAAGTCAGATTTTCTAGAAGCAAAAGTGACAAAACTTAGCAGTTATACTTTGGGCACATCATGAGAAGGCAAGACTCAATGGAGAAGACTGCCATGCTAGGTAAGGTTGATGGTGGAAGAAGAAAAGGAAAACCAAATAAGAGATGGGTTGACTGCATAAAGGAAGCCGCAACCATAAATGTGCAAGAGCTGAGCAGAGCTCTGAAGGACAGGACATTTTGGTCAGCATTCATTCATAGGGTTGCCATAAGTGGAATACAACTTGATGGTGTGTAAAAAGCAAACAAATGTGCATCTGTAAGCCTGCTTTGTTCATTCTTCTTTCACTTTCATCAGGAGTCATTTCAATTAGTTGGTGCATTTTTGCCCACATTATGTTACCATATTACCATGATAGTGGGTGAATGTAAAAGCAATAATGCTTGACTTGTTTGTTTCTAATGGAGTCACTGAAGAGCAGAATATGCTGCATGCAGTTAAAGACACACACTCATGGCACTACTAGACTATTTTATTCTGTGTCGACCTTTCAGAAACTGTGTCATAAGAAGGTCTGCTGATGTGGCTGCAGTGTCTGGGGAAAATCTCAGATCTTTTTGTGCTATCTCTAATTGGTCTCTTTGGTCCCTCAGAAAGAGGAATTTGATGATTTCCTGGTCCTATGGGAGCTCCCTTAGTTGTACCCTTAAGTATATGATTTCCCCTTAGGGTGTTATCTCCACTATAAATGTAAACTGGTTTAACCGTGATGGCTTGCTTCTTGTCCCGGAAGAAGTTTGAGACTTCTATTTTCTTCATTGCACTTGGGAGAATTCTTGTCTTCCATCCATACAACATTCCCAACCAACCTTGGGGAAATCCCTCTTCGTTATTATAATCTAAAACACAGTTTTAAGTGCACAGTACTGAAATAGTTACTGTTTCTTCTTGGTTACTTGCTAGCCTTTAGATGTATGTGTTGCTCCTTCAGAACCATACACAACTGATGTGTACAGAATTGATTTGTAATTGATGGTACCTCTGAAATTGTCCAGGACTGCCATGTGATAAGTTCACAGCAGGTTTTAGTAAATGCTGCAGATTCCACAGGGACATGATTGGACCAGATTTTTTTTCTAAGGTGAGGGAGAAGACTTGTTAGAGACAGGTGGAAGATGGATGATATGGAATGAGTGCAATGGGTGACTAGCTAGATGGGACAGTGCTTAGTACTGGGTAAACAGATGCAAGGTAACGCTTCTGGAGGAAACCTGGAATCCATAACTGGTGACTGGACACCAGGAGGCCAGTCTGGGAGAATTTTATAATGTGTGACATGGGGTGGGTTCAGACATACTGACAAACCAGG